GAGGCAGTCAGACTGTCAAGCAATTAGACAGACAGTCAGACTGTCAAGCAATTAGACATACGGGCAGCCACACAGGCACTCAGACATTAAGCAACTGACAGACAGTCAAGCCTTCAGCTAATAAGGCAGGCACACTAAGCTAGTCATACTGTCAAGCAGTTAGACATTCAGGCAGCCACACAGGCTGTTAGACTGTCAAGCAATTAGACAACAGACAGGGACACAGGCAGTCAGACTGTAAGCAATTAGACAGACAGCCATACTGTCAAGCAATTACACATTCAGACAGGCACACGTGGAGTCAGACTGTCAAGCAATGAGGCAGTCAGACTGTCAAGCAAATAGACATTCAGGCAGGCACACAGGCAGTCAGACTGTCAAGCAATTAGACAGACTGTCAAGCAGCCACACAGGCACTCAGACTGTCAAGCAGCCACACAGGCAGTCAGACTGTCAAGCGGTCAGACAGACAGTCAGACTGTCAAACAATTAGACATTCAGGCAGCCACATAGACAGTCAGACTGGCAAGCAATTAGACATTCAGGCAGCCACACAGGCACTCAGACTGTCAAACGATCAGACAGACAGTCAGACTGTCAAGCAGCCACACAGGCACTCAGACTGTCAAGCGATCAGACAGACAGTCAGACTGTCAAACAATTAGACATTCAGGCAGGCACACAGGCAGTCAGACTGTCGAGCAATTAGACAGACAGTCGGACAGTCAAGTAATTAGACATTCAGGCAGCCACACAGGGAGTCAGACTATAAGCAATTAGACATTCAGGCAGGCACACAGGCAGTCAGACTGTCGAGCAATTAGACAGACAGTCGGACAGTCAAGTAATTAGACATTCAGGCAGCCACACAGGCAGTCAGACAGTCAAGCAATTCGACAACAGACAGGGACACAGGCAGTCAGACTGTAAGCAATTAGACAGACAGCCATACTGTCAAGCAATTACACATTCAGACAGGCACACGTGGAGTCAGACTGTCAAGCAATGAGGCAGTCAGACTGTCAAGCAAATAGACATTCAGGCAGGCACACAGGCAGTCAGACTGTCAAGCAATTAGACAGACTTTCAAGCAGCCACACAGGCACTCAGACTGTCAAGCAGCCACACAGGCAGTCAGACTGTCAAGCGGTCAGACAGACAGTCAGACTGTCAAACAATTAGACATTCAGGCAGCCACATAGACAGTCAGACTGGCAAGCAATTAGACATTCAGGCAGCCACACAGGCACTCAGACTGTCAAACGATCAGACAGACAGACAGACTGTCAAGCAGCCACACAGGCACTCAGACTGTCAAGCGATCAGACAGACAGTCAGACTGTCAAACAATAAGACATTCAGGCAGGCACACAGGCAGTCAGACTGTCGAGCAATTAGACAGACAGTCGGACAGTCAAGTAATTAGACATTCAGGCAGCCACACAGGGAGTCAGACTATAAGCAATTAGACATTCAGGCAGGCACACAGGCAGTCAGACTGTCGAGCAATTAGATAGACAGTCGGACAGTCAAGTAATTAGACATTCAGGCAGCCACACAGGCAGTCAGACAGTCAAGCAATTCGACAACAGACAGGGACACAGGCAGTCAGACTGTAAGCAATTAGACAGACAGCCATACTGTCAATCAAATTACACATTCAGACAGGCACACGTGGAGTCAGACTGTCAAGCAATGAGGCAGTCAGACTGTCAAGCAAATAGACATTCAGGCAGGCACACAGGCAGTCAGACTGTCAAGCAATTAGACAGACTGTCAAGCAGCCACACAGGCACTCAGACTGTCAAGCAGCCACACAGGCAGTCAGACTGTCGAGCGGTCAGACAGACAGTCAGACTGTCAAACAATTAGACATTCAGGCAGCCACATAGACAGTCAGACTGGCAAGCAATTAGACATTCAGGCAGCCACACAGGCACTCAGACTGTCAAACGATCAGACAGACAGACAGACTGTCAAGCAGCCACACAGGCACTCAGACTGTCAAGCGATCAGACAGACAGTCAGACTGTCAAACAATTAAACATTCAGGCAGGCACACAGGCAGTCAGACTGTCGAGCAATTAGACAGACAGTCGGACAGTCAAGTAATTAGACATTCAGGCAGCCACACAGGGAGTCAGACTATAAGCAATTAGACATTCAGGCAGGCACACAGGCAGTCAGACTGTCGAGCAATTAGACAGACAGTCGGACAGTCAAGTAATTAGACATTCAGACAGGCACACGTGGAGTCAGACAGTCAAGCAATTCGACAACAGACAGGGACACAGGCAGTCAGACTGTAAGCAATTAGACAGACAGCCATACTGTCAAGCAATTACACATTCAGACAGGCACACGTGGAGTCAGACTGTCAAGCAATGAGGCAGTCAGACTGTCAAGCAAATAGACATTCAGGCAGGCACACAGGCAGTCAGACTGTCAAGCAATTAGACAGACTGTCAAGCAGCCACACAGGCACTCAGACTGTCAAGCAGCCACACAGGCAGTCAGACTGTCAAGCGGTCAGACAGACAGTCAGACTGTCAAACAATTAGACATTCAGGCAGCCACACAGGCAGTCAGACTGTCGAGCAATTAGACAGACAGTCAGACAGTCAAGTAATTAGACATTCAGGCAGCCACACAGGCAGTCAGACAGTCAAGCAATTCGACAACAGACAGGGACACAGGCAGTCAGACTGTAAGCAATTAGACAGACAGCCATACTGTCAAGCAATTACACATTCAGACAGGCACACGTGGAGTCAGACTGTCAAGCAATGAGGCAGTCAGACTGTCAAGCAATTAGACAGACAGTCAGACTGTCAAGCAATTAGACATACGGGCAGCCACACAGGCAGTCAGACATTAAGCAACTGACAGACAGTCAAGCCTTCAGCTAATAAGGCAGGCACACTAAGCTAGTCATACTGTCAAGCAGTTAGACATTCAGGCAGCCACACAGGCTGTTAGACTGTCAAGCAATTAGACATTCAGGCAGCCACACAGTCCAGCAAGTAGACATTCGGGCAGACACACGGGCACTCAGACACTCTGACAGTCAAGCAGTTAGAGAATCAGGCAGTCACACAGGCAGTCAGACAGTCAGTCAGTCAGTCAGACAGTCAATCAATTAGAGAGTCAGTCAGGCAAACGGGCAGTCAGACAGTCAATCAATTAGACAGGCAGGCCGGTGCACAGGCAGTCAGACAGTCAGGCAGTCAATCAGACAGTCAAGCAATTAGAGAGTCAGTCAAGCACACAGGCAGTCAGACAGTCAATCAATTAGACAGGCAGGCAGGTGCACAGGCAGTCAGACAGTCAGGCAGTCAATCAATTAGACAGGCAGGCAGGTGCACAGGCAGTCAGTCAGTCAGGCAGTCAATCAGACAGTCAAGCAATTAGAGAGTCAGTCAGGCACACAAGCAGTCAGACAGTCAATCAATTAGACAGGCAGGCAGACGCACAGGCGGTCAGGTATCCAGGTGATCTGACACATCGAGTGATAAATTATTAAGTGGATTATTGCAAGAAAACCCCTTATTACAATTTTGAGAAAGGTGTGTGAAGGATGGCAGTATCACTGTTAGTTTGGGGCGGTGGGGTAGCCTGGTGGTTAAAGTGTTCGCTTGTCACGCCGAAGACCCAGATTCAAATTACACACATGGGTACAATGTGTGAAGTCCATTTCCGGTGTCCCCTGCCGTGATATTGCTGGAATATTGTTAAGTGGCGTAAAACCATACTCACTCACTCACTCACTCACTCACTCACTGTTAGTTTGATGTAGAATTTAACTGCATTTTCCAACAAGTCTTTAGAGACTGTGAACAACAAAGACTGGTAAAAGAACATGGTCAATATTGTCTTGCCACAAAAGGTGCCTGCTGCAATGGGCGATGTGTTACGGACCTGTTAATGTTGTGATGGCCATAATCAGGGCAATATGATGAAATTGACAGTTGCTGCAGGAGGGGAGTCAATCAATAACACAATCAATAACTTCCTTGTCCATTCCATCTCTTAATCATTGTGGTAAATCTCATGCTAGAGTTCTAACCGTGGATGATTGATGTGTGCCAGTACTTGAGCCAGTGAAATCTGAAGCGGCCTTCATTGCGATCTATTGAAGAAATATAAGGTGGGAGGGTTTTAATGATCTGCCAGCTTTTATTTTGTGACAATCTATTGTTGGCACAGTGACAGAATGTGAACAGCAAGGCTTGTGTGCAGACACACTCCCTTGTCATCAGGAATTAAATATACAGTGGAAACCTTTTAATCCAAACCCTGGTAGCTTTGAAACCTGGTTTTGAACTATTCATGTTGGGACATCTATATATAACAAGAGTAGCATTTCTATGTAGCCACGCTGAGTTAATCTGGACATATGCTAATCTAGATGTTTCCAGACAGTTGTGTCCAGAATAAGGGGGAATGTTTCCCAGTCTGTTAGTTTCCATGAACCCAATACCTTCACCATATGTTGATGGATCCCAGTCTCTCCTGGTCCCCACGCATCAGACAGGTGACATGTTTGGAAGACTGTATACAATCAGGCGATGCAACAAGATATTGATGCATCGGTTGCTTGCAATATGTTTCATCCAATACAATCCATATCAGTATGATCTTGCTGAACCAGTTTTTAAGAAGTACCTTTTTAACTGGACTCAGTGTTCAAAACCCAACAAGACAGATGGGCAGGTAAACCATAAGTGTTGCCTGCCCATCTTCAATGTTACCTGTCCGCACTCAGACATTATTAATATTGAAAAAACGCAAAAAATAAGAGACAAATCGCATCTTGATTCATTTGATATAATGCTGACAATTACTATGATAAAACTGTGCTCACATTGTCAACCACTGGATTGTCTGGTCCAGATTTGATTATTTATGAGCCAGCATCGTATTGCTGGAATATTGCTCATCATCATCATCAACAACAACAATGAATTCATCAACTACAACAATGAATTTGTATGTTTCAGTCATTTCGACAATCACAAGCTTTGGAGTCCCAATGTGTTTGCCATCAAGTGCTTCAAGATTATCATGTACTCAGTGCAGGTAAGGCAGTTATAGTGACACATTTCTGTGTATAGTCTCATGAAATATCAAGGTGCAAATTGTGTCCCTTAGCTATGTCAGGATCTGCTGGTCATGGGTTAAAATCCCAGATTGATCGCTTTCCTTGTTTTTTTTGCTTGTGGCTTTCTGCACTCATTACACTTACATTCAGTGATGTAAATATAATAGTGTTCAGAACAGTGTTCAACCCAAGTCACTACATTATAATATCAGCATTTGGAGAACTATTGCATTTTGTTGAGATAAGACTGACTTTTGTTGTTGTTTTGTTACATATGGTCAAGTCTGTTCAGAAAGAGTGAAGTACAACTTGCTAGATTGTTGTGGGGCAGTAATGTGTCTTTAGTGATGGATTGCTTGGAAATGAGGCATGGAGTTACTGAGCTAGAAAGAGCAATAACTGACTGTCTGTAGTGGCTGAGAGGAGTTCTATAAACATCTTGATAATGACATTTAATAACATATACATTTCCTGAGGTGCAGACTCTCATCTGCATCTCCCAGGGCAGCAGGGAGATAGGTTGTCACAGGGAAGGTATGTGTCCTGGCCCGACAGTGTTTGTGTAATGGAGGACACGCAGGGAGCAGCTTGCTGACAGTAATTACTGGCTGCCTCAACACTGACCGGTGGCCGTCTCCACTTGCCTGGGGTCATGTGGCACAATCTCCTTATGGAGATGCTTGCTAATGATGTCATTACACGCACATTGGTGACTGCCAGCCATGCTGTTATATCTGTGGGACATTAGTGCCATATCGGTGGCTGTCTGATTAGAGTGATCACAACACCATGTTCTCCCAGATACAGGTTCAGTAGTTCAACAGGTCAGACTAGCAATACACTACAAAACATGTGTTGTGTTAACTGAACTGTACAAGGCTGATGGCTTGAGAAATGTATGTGTATGACTGGGTACAGTTACAGAACACCGGCATAGGTGTGTATCTCATATCATTACTCACAGGGGGAAGTGACAGGTGGGGAGATGCTAAAATGGTTTTGTCACATGTGTGTCATACAAGTTTAACTCATTTGGATTGGATAAGTCGCTATGGTCACACATAAAAGGTTATTCTGGAACTTGTTTGAATTTCATGAAAATGAGATCTTCAAGATTATAATTTTATTAACCAAACAAGCTTGAAATTCACCTCCGTAGTCTAGTGGATAGAGGGTCTGCCCAGAGAGAGGAAGGTTGGTGGTTAGACACTACAGACAGTCAGTTATTGCTCTTTCTAGCTCAGTAACTCCATGTCTCATTTCCAAGCAATCCATCACTAAAGACACATTACTGCCCAACAACAATCTAGCAAGTTGTACTTCGCGTGATGTTGCAGTGTCAGGCATTGATGTTGGGCTTGTGATGTTGCAGTGTCAGTTGTGATGTTAGGCTTGGGTGATGTTGCAGTGTCAGGTGTGATGTTAGGCTTGGGTGAAGTTGCAGTGTCAGGTGTGATGTTAGGCTTGGGTGATGTTGCATTGTGAGGTATTGATGTTAGGCTTGGGTGATGTTGCAGTGTGAGGTGTGATGTTAGGCTTGGGTGATGTTGCAGTGTCAGGTGTTGATGTTAGGCTTGGGTGATGTTGCAGTGTCAGCTATTGATGTTGGGCTTGTGATGTTGCAGTGTCAGGTGTGATGTTAGGCTTAGGTGATGTTGCAGTGACAGGTGTTGATGTTAGGCTTGTGATGTTGCAGTGTCAGGTGTGATGTTAGACTTGGCTGATGTTGCAGTGTCAGGTGTTGATGTTAGGCTTGGGTGATGTTGCAGTGTAAGGTGTGATGTTAGGCTTGGGTGATGTTGCAGTGTCAGGTATTGATGTTGGGCTTGTGATGTTGCAGTGTCAGGTACTGATGTTAGGCTTGGGTGATGTTGCAGTGTCAGGTATTGATATTAGGCTTGGATGATGTTGCAGTGTCAGGCATTGATGTTTGGCTTGTGATGTTGCAGTGTCAGGTGTGATGTTAGGCTTAGGTGATGTTGCAGTGTCAGGTGTGATGTTAGGCTTGGGTGATGTTGGAGTGTCAGGTTTTGATGTTAGGCTTGGGTGATGTTGCAGTGTCAGGTGTGATGTTAGGCTTAGGTGATGTTGCAGTGTCAGTTGTGATATTAGGCTTGGGTGATGTTGCAGTGTCAGGTATTGATGTTAGGCTTGGGTGATGTTGCAGTGTCAGGTATTGATGTTGGGCTTGTGATGTTGCAGTGTCAGGTGTGATGTTAGGCTTGGGTGATGTGTCAGTGTCAGGTATTGATGTTAGGCTTGGGTGATGTTGCAGTGTCAGGTATTGATGTTGGGCTTGTGATGTTGCAGTGTCAGGTGTGATGTTAGGCTTGGGTGATGTTGCAGTGTCAGGTGTGATGTTAGGCTTGTGATGTTGCAGTGTCAGGTGTGATGTTAGGCTTGAGTGATGTTGCAGTGTCAGGTGTTGATGTTAGGCTTGGGTGATGTTGCAGTGTCAGGTGTGATGTTAGGCTTGAGTGATGTTGCAGTGTCAGGTGCGATGTTAGGCTTGTGATGTTGCAGTGTCAGGTGCGATGTTAGGCTTGTGATGTTGCAGTTTCAGGTATTGATGTTAGGCTTGGGTGATGTTGCAGTGTCAGGTGTGATGTTAGACTTGGCTGATGTTGCAGTGACAGGTGTTGATGTTAGGCTTGTGATGTTGCAGTGTCAGGTGTGATGTTAGACTTGGCTGATGTTGCAGTGACATGTGTTGATGTTAGGCTTGTGATGTTGCAGTGTCAGGTGTGATGTTAGGCTTGGATGATGTTGCAGTGTCAGGTGTTGATGCTAGGCTTGGGTGATGTTGCAGCGTCAGGTACTGATGTTAGGCTTGAGTGATGTGTCAGTGTCAGGTGTTGATACTAGGCTTTGGTGATGTTGCAGTGTCAGGTGTTGATGTTAGGCTTGTGATGTTGCAGTGTCAGGTGTGATGTTAGGCTTGGTCGATGTTGCAGTAACAGGTGTTGATGTTAGGCTTGTGATGTTGCAGTGTCAGGTGTGATGTTAGGCTTGGGTGATGTGGCAGTGTCAGGTATTGATGTTGGGCTTGTGATGTTGCAGTGTCAGGTATTGATGTTAGGCTTGGGTGATGTTGCAGTGTCAGGTATTGATGTTAGGTTTGTGATGTGTCAGTGTCAGGTGTGATGTTAGGCTTGGTCGATGTTGCAGTAACAGGTGTTGATGTTAGGCTTGTGATGTTGCAGTGTCAGGTGTGATGTTAGGCTTGGGTGATGTTGCAGTGTCAGGTGTGATGTTAGGCTTGGGTGATGTGTCAGTGTCAGGTGTTGATGTTAGGCTTGGGTGATGTTGCAGTGTCAGGTATTGATGTTAGGCTTGGGTGATGTTGCAGTGTCAGGTGTGATGTTAGGCTGGTGATGTTGCAGTGTCAGGTGTGATGTTAGGCTAAGGTGATATTGCAGTGTCAGGTATTGATGTTAGGCTTGTGATGTTGCAGTGTCAGGTTTTGATGTTAGGCTTGGGTGATGTGTCAGTGTCAGGTGTTGATGCTAGGCTTTGGTGATGTTGCAGTGTCAGGTGTTGATGTTAGGCTTGTGATGTTGCAGTGTCAGGTGTGATGTTAGGCTTGGTCGATGTTGCAGTAACAGGTGTTGATGTTAGGCTTGTGATGTTGCAGTGTCAGGTGTGATGTTAGGCTTGGGTGATGTTGCAGTGTCAGGTATTGATGTTAGGCTTGTGATGTTGCAGTGTCAGGTTTTGATGTTAGGCTTGGATGATGTTGCAGTGTCAGGTGTTGATGCTAGGCTTGGGTGATGTTGCAGCGTCAGGTACTGATGTTAGGCTTGGGTGATGTGTCAGTGTCAGGTGTTGATGCTAGGCTTTGGTGATGTTGCAGTGTCAGGTGTTGATGTTAGGCTTGTGATGTTGCAGTGTCAGGTGTGATGTTAGGCTTGGTCGATGTTGCAGTAACAGGTGTTGATGTTAGGCTTGTGATGTTGCAGTGTCAGGTGTGATGTTAGGCTTGGGTGATGTTGCAGTGTCAGGTGTGATGTTAGGCTTGGGTGATGTGTCAGTGTCAGGTGTTGATGTTAGGCTTGGGTGATGTTGCAGTGTCAGGTATTGATGTTAGGCTTGGGTGATGTTGCAGTGTCAGGTGTGATGTTAGGCTGGTGATGTTGCAGTGTCAGGTGTGATGTTAGGCTAAGGTGATATTGCAGTGTCAGGTATTGATGTTAGGCTTGTGATGTTGCAGTGTCAGGTTTTGATGTTAGGCTTGGGTGATGTGTCAGTGTCAGGTGTTGATGCTAGGCTTTGGTGATGTTGCAGTGTCAGGTGTTGATGTTAGGCTTGTGATGTTGCAGTGTCAGGTGTGATGTTAGGCTTGGTCGATGTTGCAGTAACAGGTGTTGATGTTAGGCTTGTGATGTTGCAGTGTCAGGTGTGATGTTAGGCTTGGGTGATGTTGCAGTGTCAGGTATTGATGTTAGGCTTGTGATGTTGCAGTGTCAGGTTTTGATGTTAGGCTTGGATGATGTTGCAGTGTCAGGTGTTGATGCTAGGCTTGGGTGATGTTGCAGCGTCAGGTACTGATGTTAGGCTTGGGTGATGTGTCAGTGTCAGGTGTTGATGCTAGGCTTTGGTGATGTTGCAGTGTCAGGTGTTGATGTTAGGCTTGTGATGTTGCAGTGTCAGGTGTGATGTTAGGCTTGGTCGATGTTGCAGTAACAGGTGTTGATGTTAGGCTTGTGATGTTGCAGTGTCAGGTGTGATGTTAGGCTTGGGTGATGTGGCAGTGTCAGGTATTGATGTTGGGCTTGTGATGTTGCAGTGTCAGGTATTGATGTTAGGCTTGGGTGATGTTGCAGTGTCAGGTATTGATGTTAGGTTTGTGATGTGTCAGTGTCAGGTATTGATGTTGGGCTTGTGATGTTGCAGTGTCAGGTATTGATGTTAGGCTTGGGTGATGTTGCAGTGTCAGGTATTGATGTTAGGTTTGTGATGTTGCAGTGTCAGGTATTGATGTTAGGCTTGTGTGATGTGGCAGTGTCAGGTGTGATGTTAGGCTGGTGATGTTGCAATGTCAGGTGTTGATGTTAAGCTGGTGCTGTTGCAGGCTCAGTATGGCTACCTGGTGATCCAGAGTCTGTTGAAGCACCTGGACAAGCATGTGAAGAGTGACCCCTATGTGAAGGTGGGCATCATTGGCGTGCTGTTTGAGTCAGTTCTTATTGCTGCCGGAGGCTCTATAGGTCCATCAGTACTGGAGGTCTTCAACAACCTACTGCGACACCTTAGAATTTCCGTTGACAACAAGAGCCATGACACACACAAACGTACATCCGAGAAGAAGTTTGAGGAAGCCATTATAAACACTATAGGTGAGTTACACTGATTTTGTTTGAGACAAGTGGTATTTGGACATTTCCTTTCAGTGTTATTACCAAATCTTGACAATCAGTCTGTGGCCTAAAAAAATGAGACCGCCTCTGTAGTCTAGTGGTAGAGCACATCCTTGGAGAGCAGAAGGTCCGGGGTTCGATCCCCAGCCGTGTCATACCAAAAGATGTTACTTGTTGTTACCCTGTTTGGGGCAAAAACAAGGACTGGTTGGCTCGGAGTCAGTATACTGTGTCTGAGTGGGGTGTTCATGTTAAACTGCGGCATGGTATCTCAGTGTACTAGCACTATAAATCTGCATCAGTTCGGACTAGTACAAGCGGACACAAACATTTGTGAATGTTTTTATCTGGATCTACCAATGATTTGAAGTTTATGGATTCAGTCAAGTTCAATGGCTGTTCTGATGCTATTGTACTGAGTAGTGAGTTCATGTCGTAACTGTGACAATGATCATATGTTTTTTAGTAAGAGTGTGTTCAGGATCCAGCATTTCCTTGATAAATCTAGTCAACATGTTTCAGGTGCCATAAATGTTTAAACATGTCAGTTACACTAATAACGGTTCTGGCAAAATGTGTTTTGCAATTCTTAATATTACTCACCAAAGAATGAATTAATGAATGAATGTTGTAGAATAACTAAATATTCAGAGTCCACTAAATAAAAACAATGCTTACATTCAAGTGTTCGCATTTATTCTTTATCGTATACAGTATGGCGTTATCGATAAATCTCGTAATCCACACACCCTGTGGACTGTTACTTATGTTTATCTAAGCACGATATATTTCATCGCATGATCGAACACAGGACTCGTTGCAGCATGTCAAGGCTACTTGCATGTATACACACGTTAACTTTTTTATGATAGTTTCTGGGATGTCTTGGAAGTGGAATTACCCCTACCACCTTTCGAAATTGATTAGAAAAGAACCCATGTGTTCAGACAAAGTCCCTTGTCCCAACTTCGGTCATATGCATACTGATTATGCAAAATACAAAACAGGAAGTGATGTAAACCACATAATCCAGACAGCCTTCCAGCGGTAAGATTCACCAATGACAGGTGCCTACTTTGTTTACCGAACTCGGCAAATAAAAATAGCATTGATCAATCCTAATTTATGTGTCATAAAAGTTGAACATAGAACAGCAAGCATTTTGCGTATCACATATTTAATGTTTCTAAGAGTGCCCCATTATGATCCATTATAAATCAACTACCACAATAACATAGCGTACCATCCTACACGGTCACTTGATGTCGCGGGTCACTGTTACCACTTTCTGAAGTATACCCTTGATGTGCCTGGCTATTTTTAGTTTGACACAAGGTCGGGATATTTTCGACCAATCATCAAGCTAAAAGAATTACGAATGTATCCAAGCGGCTTTATATGCGGCACCTGATTGGCTGAAGCAAACCTACGGACCATAGCGAACATTAATACATGCAAAACCGAAAATAGATATAGGTCAAGAAACCGGTTTGGGTATTTGTCATAAGAAATTAGAGAATAATGAAACTGGTTTGGTTGAGCAAATGGAAGTGATTCGCTATCTTGTGTGGCAATAAATACCTTAAATCAAAGACGTATGGCTTTTATTTACAATTACAGTGGCCATTTGATATGAAATTAATAATGGTTTAGTCACTGCGTCCACAAGACCGACACATGTTATGCAGGTACGTCCAAACTCGTGCAAGACGCAAAAACGCGCTCTTCAGCCAACACTGCTGACCAGTATATCAAAAGATAATGGTTGAACTTATATAGGAACCAAACAGGTGCATTCGGAATGGACTGAGTCTCTCCCTTCCTGCCACTCTGGCCCTGATACTGATGTCCGTCTGTCAGTCAGTCTCTCCCTTCCTGCCACTCTGGCCCTGATACTGATGTCCGTCTGTCAGTCTCTCCCTTCCTGCCACTCTGGCCCTGATACTGATGTCCGTCTGTCAGTCGCTCCCTTCCTGCCACTCTGGCCCTGATACTGATGTCTGTCAATCAGTCAGTCTCTCCCTTCCTGCCACTCTGGCCCTGACACTGATGTCTGTCAGTCAGTCTCTCCCTTCCTGCCACTCTGGCCCTGATACTGATGTCTGTCAATCAGTCAGTCTCTCCCTTCCTGCCACTCTGGCCCTGATACTGATGTCCATCTGTCAGTCTCTCCCTTCCTGCCACTCTGGCCCTGATACTGATGTCTGTCAATCAGTCAGTCTCTCCCTTCCTGCCACTCTGGCCCTGACACTGATGTCTGTCAGTCAGTCTCTCCCTTCCTGCCACTCTGGCCCTGACACTGATGTCTGTCAGTCAGTCTCTCCCTTCCTGCCACTCTGGCCCTGATACTGATGTCTGTCAATCAGTCAGTCTCTCCCTTCCTGCCACTCTGGCCCTGATACTGATGTCCATCTGTCAGTCTCTCCCTTCCTGCCACTCTGGCCCTGATACTGATGTCTGTCAATCAGTCAGTCTCTCCCTTCCTGCCACTCTGGCCCTGATACTGATATCCGTCTGTCAGTCTCTCCCTTTCTGCCACTTTGGCCCTGATACTGATGTCCGTCTGTCAGTCTCTCCCTTCCTGCGACTCTGGCCCTGATACTGATGTCTGTCTGTCAGTCTCTCCCTTCCTGCCACTTTGGCCCTGATACTGATGTCCGTCTGTCAGTCAGTCTCTCCCTTCCTGCCACTCTGGCCCTGATACTGATGTCCTTCTGTCAGTCTCTCCCTTCCTGCCACTCTGGCCCTGATACTGATGTCTGTCTGTCAGTCAGTCTCTCCCTTCCTGCCACTCTGGCCCTGATACTGATGTCTGTCTGTCAGTCAGTCTCTCCCTTCCTGCCACTCTGGTCCTGATACTGATGTCTGTCAGTCAGTCTCTAACTTCCTGCCACTCTGGTCCTGATACTGATGTCTGTCTGTCAGTCTCTAACTTCCTGCCACTCTGGCCCTGATACTGATGTCTGTCTGTCAGTCTCTCCCTTCCAGCCACTCTGGCCCTGATACTGATGTCTGTCTGTCAGTCTCTCCCTTCCTGCCACTCTGGCCCTGATACTGATGTCTGTCAGTCAGTCTCTAACTTCCTGCCACTCTGGCCCTGATACTGATGTCTGTCAATCAGTCAGTCTCTCCCTTCCTGCCACTCTGGCCCTGATACTGATGTCCGTCTGTCAGTCTCTCCCTTCCTGCCACTCTGGCCCTGATACTGATGTCAGTCTGTCAGTCTCTCCCTTCCTGCCACTCTGGCCCTGATACTGATGTCTGTCTGTCAGTCTCTCCCTTCCTGCCACTCTGGCCCTGATACTGATGTCCGTCCGTCTGTCAGTCTCTCCCTTCCTGCCACTCTGGCCCTGATACTGATATCTGTCTGTCAGTCTCTCCCTTCCTGCCACTCTGGCCCTGATACTGATGTCTGTCAGTCAGTCTCTCCCTTCCTGCCACTCTGGCCCTGATACTGATGTCTGTCTGTCAGTCTCTCCCTTCCTGCCACTCTGGCCCTGATACTGATGTCCGTCTGTCAGTCTCTCCCTTCCTGCCACTCTGGCCCTGATACTGATATCTGTCTGTCAGTCTCTCCCTTCCTGCCACTCTGGCCCTGATACTGATGTCTGTCAGTCAGTCTCTCCCTTCCTGCCACTCTGGCCCTGATACTGATGTCTGTCTGTCAGTCACTCCCTTCCTGCTACTCTGGCCCTGATACTGATGTCTGTCAGTCAGTCTCTCCCTTCCTGCCACTCTGGCCCTGATACTGATGTCTGTCAATCAGTCAGTCTCTCCCTTCCTGCCACTCTGGCCCTGATACAGAGGTCTCTCTGTCAGCCTCTCTGCACTTTCTACACATGTCTGTAGGTCAGAGGCTTAATGCTGTGCTCCTAGCAGTGTTATCAGCTCCAAGCAGTCATCATCAATAGTTTCAGTCAGCATTGGCATTATCTTGTCAGTGTGTCAACATTAGGGTGTCGACATTAGCTCAGGTGGGGCTGACATCTGTGATTATTGTGTTTCAGGGGAGTTTGCTAACAACCTTCCAGACTATCAGAAGATTGAGATAATGATGTTCGTCATGGGTAAATTCCCCCAGTTCACAAATGAAGAGGATATCGGGTAACTTGTTGACTGTAGATTGAGTTCAGCCTTTGACACTCTATTTTTCTTTAAGATTTGGTACAGAGGGAATTATTCTTTCACATAATGATTGTTCTGGCAGCTAAAATCTGGATAAAAAACTAAAGTTTCTCAGCACCTAAATGTAACGATAACATAAAATCATGCTATATAAAATTTGTAGCTCCTCCAAACCAAGTGAGCTTATGTCATTATTGCATGTTGTCCGTGTGTCCATCAGTGAGACATCTGTCAGTTCCTGATTTCTTCTTCAAACCAGCTGAAGGGAGGGACCTAACTGTTTGTGAAGAAACTCATTAGATTTAGGACTCAAATTTCTTCTTGTTATTAAGATAACAGTTTGGGGAAAATGTTTGTTTTTTGTTACCGGGTAATTTTTTTAGATATATTTGAAAAATTATACTGAAGGTCTTATACTAAGAACTTATGAAGATATTTGGATCTAACGCTAAATGTAGCTGTTTGTTAAATGTTTCTTTTAAGCATTTTCATTTGTACTCAACTGTGTTGCTGATGTTTCCAAAATATCTCAGCAAGTGGTGTACCAAGTTCATGATACATAGCAATCATTAGCCGAGTGTGTTTCTGTACATCATATAAAAAATAAGGATTATGCTTACCATTTATTCCTAAAAACGGGTATATAATATTTACAGAACACACTCGGCTAATAAGCTCTTTCTCGTATAATGTCATTATTCCAATAATCAATATTTAAGACGTAATTTCACACAATTTCACAATGACGTGTTGACAAGTTTGTCTCCAGAAACACAGCAACACATTGGGAAACCCCTATCTAAGCATACTGGGAATGTTTGTCAAAGGTTTATTGAGAAAGAAGGCTTTACCCCGAAAGGAAAGGAGTTCTTGTGAGGTGATCTCATATGGATATTTAACTAATTGTTTAACCAAGTTTATTAGATTGGTTTATCACTTCAATGATACTAGCTGTTATGTGTTAAATTAAGTTGATCCTTGTAACCTTCATATTGTTTTTTTAATTTTATTGACTGTTACACTGATGCCACACCGTCCTCCAAGCTGAATGATAGTGGAAGGGATTTACCCTTTCCTTATTTGATACTTTCACTGAAGGTAATACAGCTGTTCAGATTGTCACTGGTGGGCCACAGTGTCTTTATTTTATACTTTGTACGAAGGATGCCGTTCATATGACTGACTGCAAGCAAGTTGCTATTGTGTCCGATGAGGTGTAATGACTACTGGTCCATGTTGATTGTTTGATGATTTGTCTCATTGTAGAGGCTCCATGGACACACAGCTCCAGATCAACTTACTCAAGACATTGTTGAAGGTTAGTGGCATCTGTATTGATGCTTCTTGTCTTACCATGCTGATCGCTGCTTCCATCTGTTCATCAATACTTATTGTAAAAGCTGACTTAATGAGGCTCTTGTGGTCTCAGTATCTGACCTGGGTGATGTGGATTATTGCTTATGCTGTCAATTACCTGACCAAGGCTATTTATTTGCAGGCTGCCATGATATGGCTGGATTTTGGCTGAATGTATCATTGTCCTTTGTCTTGTGATTGCTTTGTTGTTTGTTCCTGTCAGGTGGCTACCAAGTACAAGACAATGAACATGCAGAATGCATTCCCACCTGAGTTCCTGCATCCCCTACTACGAATGTCCCTTCTTGATGACCCGGGAATGAGGATTATCGTTCAGGAGATCCTGCACACCATGATTGACAGGCACAATAACTCAACCAAACTGAAGTCTGTTGTGTAGGTACCAAGTCTTTTGAGGATAGACCAAAACATGTTCAAAATTTATGCATGTTATATATTCATATATAAATATTACATATACATTACCTCTATGTATGAGAGTTGGTTCATTTACGGAAGCAACTTTATCTTATATAGTCTGCGTGTTACTTATATTTCCTACAAGCATGCTAGGAGGGGCCCAAATTCCAGGTTTTGTGTTGCAGGATGTCAAAAGATGTGAGTGAGCTTGAGCTGTCTGTGGAGAAGACCAGTAGACAGGATATCATGTTCATGAAGAAGGTGAGGCAGTTGAGGTTCTTTGGCACTGGTTGTATAGTCTCATCCTAGGAATTCCTTGTCTGACAGATTCTGTTGCTAATTCAACTTCCTTTATCATAGTTACATCTCCCATATATATATATAGGTGTTTGCAATAATGGTTAGCATGTCCTATCTACTGTATGCCTATGGGGATTCTGGCACAGAATGCATCCCAAGTACAGCTCCCCAGTATTTGTTGCAAGAACTGATCCCCATAGAGATTCCTGCAGAACAGCTCCCCAGTACCCCATATTTGTTGGAAGAGCTGATCCCCATAAGGATTCATGGCAGAACAGGTCCCCAGTACCCTGTATTTGTTGAAAGAGATGATCCCCATAAGGATTCCTGGCAGAACAGGTCCCCAGTACCCTGTATTTGTTGAAAGAGATGATCCCCATAAGGATTCCCTGCAGAACAGGTCCCCAGTACCCCATATTTGTTGAAAGAGCTGATCCCCATAGGGATTCCTGGCAGAACGGGTCCCCAGTACCTGGTATTTGTCATGCCGATATAGGAAGATCAAGTCCATTTGTATTGTGCTGCTCCACTCAAGTGAATGCTCATGGTGCTATGTTACTGTTCAGACACCATAGTGACATATGAATGTGTGTTGACAGAGTGGCATGCAGTTCTACTGGCACCTGCTGGAGAACATGCAGATGGAGAGCAACTGTGTGGACAACTTCGAGGCTCTCTACTGCACCATGGCCCTCATTTGCATCGAGATGGGAGGAGATGAGATACTGGTGGAACTATTCAGACTGGCGCTGGATATACAGGTATGCTGGAGCTTCATAAGCTCAAGGCAGGACAGAAAAATGTTTCTTGTCATTGTGCATATTAATTGGAACTGTGCAAATACTTGTTGTTTTCGTGGCTTTGAAATGTTTTGTTTTGGCAGGTATGATTATTATGATTGTACAGAGTTTATTATAAGAGTCATTACTCTTACCTAAGCTAAAATGACTGCTAACAAGTTTGTATTGGCTTTCTGCTTTTTTACCTTGTTTTTTTAAAAAGAAGTTTTGATGAATCACAGCTTCAACTTGAAGAATCCATTGTGAAAATTAATGATGTCATGGGTTTGGTTTGAAACTGTTTGATGTACTTAATGATGACTTTGTGTTTCAGCAAATGGCTGTAACAAACATGGGCCTCCCCTTAACTCACAAATGTGCAATCCATGGCCTCATCGGAGCATACCTGAACCTTGTCAGTCAACTCACAGCCATCCCTCAGCTGTGTCAGTATGTAGCCCAGGTAATACCACTCTTTTGACCCAGAAGTAGACAGTCTAGACTCTCCACACTGTCTTGACCTGCACCTAGAAGTAGTCAGGCTAGACTCTCCACACTGTCTTGACCTGCACCTAGAAGTAGTCAGGCTATACTCTACACACTGTCTTGACCTGCACCTAGAAGTAGTCAGGCTAGACTCTACACACTGTCTTGACCTGCACCTAGAAGTAGTCAGGCTAGACTCTACACACTGTCTTGACCTGCACCTAGAAGTAGTCAGGCTAGACTTTCCACAGTCTTGACCTGCACCTAGAAGTAGTCAGGCTAGACTCTCCACACTGTCTTTACCTGCACCTAGAAGTAGTCAGGCTAGACTCTCCACACTGTCTTGACCTCCACCTAGAAGTGGTCAGGCTAGGCTCTCCACACTGTCTTGACCTCCACCTTGAAGTAGTCAGGCTAGACTCTCCACGCTGTCTTGACCTGCACCTAGAAGTAGTCAGGCTAGACTCTCCACACTGTCTTGATCTGCACCTAGAAGTAGTCAGGCTAGACTCTCCACACTGTCTTGATCTGCACCAAGAAGTAGTCAGGCTAGACTCTCCACACTGTCTTGACCTCCACCTAGAAGTAGTCAGGCTAGGCTCTCCACACTGTCTTGACCTCCACCTTGAAGTAGTCAGGCTAGACTCTCCACACTGTCTTGACCTGCACCTAGAAGTGGTCAGGCTAGACTCTACACACTGTCTTCATCCAGAGGATGTTGGAACCTGACTGAGGATTTAGTTTCGCCAGATAAGAAACCCATTCCATCAATTTATTGACCTGAAGTTCCATACCTGTCTGACTTGTTATGTTTCACAAATCTTTCATGTGTTATTGATTGTGCACATATTCACAGATCCGGATAATGATTTACACTTTGTCTTGTTGCTATGGTTTCTTTTTGTTTCAAAGCAGACATATATCAGTCAATACCACTCAACACAATAGGCACCCAAGCCAGGTTAAGTTAGTTAGCAAAGCTGGGTGGTGAAGGAGCCTTGAGGTTATGGTCTTTACATGCTGAAGACTCCATGAAATTCACCAGAAAACAACGGGGTGATTATGAAGATCCCAACCACAAATGTTAGTTAGCAGTGTTAGGTAAAAGGATTGAATGAATGTTGTTATTTGTTGGTATTTTGCCAACTGATTTTGTCTTCATTTCTGAAGGTTATCTCTTTATGAGTGAGGTGTTGTACTGAGCAGGTTATCTCTGTATTACTGATGTGTTGTACTTGTGAGGTTATCTCTGTATAACTGATGTGTTGTACTGGGCAGGTTGTCTTTGTATTACTGATGTGTTGTACTGACATGTTATCTTTGTATATTACTGATGTGTTGTACTGGGCAGGTTATCTCTGTATTACTGATGTGTTGTACTGGACAGGTTATCTCTGTATTACTGATGTGTTGTACTGGGCAGGTTATCTCTGTATTACTGATGTGTTGTACTGGGCAGGTTGTCTTTGTATTACTGATGTGTTGTACTGACAGGTTATCTCTGTATTACTGATGTGTTGTACTGGACAGGTTATCTCTGTATTACTGACGTGTTGTACAGGCAGGTTATCTCTGTATTACTGATGTGTTGTACTGGAAGGTTATCTCTGTATTACTGATGTGTTGTACTGGGCATGTTATCTCTGTATTACTGATGTGTTGTACAGGCAGGTTATCACTGTATTACTGATGTGTTGTACTGGGCAGGTTATCTCTGTATAACTGATGTGTTGTACTGGACAGGTTATCTCTGTATTACTGATGTGTTGTACTGGGCAGGTTGTCTTTGTATTACTGATGTGTTGTACTGGACAGGTTATCTCTGTATTACTGATGTGTTGTACTGGGCAGGTTATCTCTGTATTACTGATGTGTTGTACTGGGCAGGTAATCTCTGTATTACTGATGTGTTGTACTGGGCAGGTTATCTCTGTATTACTGATGTGTTGTACTGGGCAGGTTGTTTTTGTATTACTGATGTGTTGTACTGACATGTTATCTTTGTATTACTGATGTGTTGTACTGACATGTTATCTCTGTATTACTGATGTGTTGTACTGGGCAGGTTATCTCTGTATTACTGATGTGTTGTACTGGGCAGGTTATCTTTGTATATTACTGATGTGTTGTACTGGACAGGTTATCTCTGTATTACTGATGTGTTGTACTGGGCAGGTTATCTCTGTATTACTGATGTGTTGTACAGGACAGGTTATCTCTGTATTACTGATATGTTGTACAGGGGAGGTTATCTCTGTATTACTGATGTGTTGTACTGGACATGTTATCTCTGTATTACTGATGTGTTGTACTGGGCAGGTTATCACTGTATTACTGATGTGTTGTACTGGGCAGGTTATCTGTGTATTACTGATGTGTTGTACTGGGCAGGTTATCTCTGTATTACTGATGTGTTGTACTGGACAGGTTGTCTCTGTATTACTGATGTGTTGTACTGGACAGGTTGTCTCTGTATTACTGATGTGTTGTACTGGACAGGTTATCTCTGTATTACTGATGTGTTATACTGGGCAGGTTATCTCTGTGTTACTGATATGTTGTGCTGGACAGGTTATCTCTGTATTACTGATGTGTTGTACTGGACATGTTATCTCTGTATTACTGATGTGTTGTACAGGGCATGTTATCTCTGTATTACTGATGTGTTGTACTGGGCAGGTTGTCTTTGTATTACTGATGTGTTGTACAGGCAGGTTATCTCTGTATTACTGATGTGTTGTACAGGCAGGTTGTCTTTGTATTACTGATGTGTTGTACAGGCAGGTTGTCTTTGTATTACTGATGTGTTGTACAGGCAGGTTATCTCTGTATTACTGATGTGTTGTACTGGGAAGGTTATCTCTGTATTACTGATGTGTTGTACTGGACAGGTTATCTCTGTATTACTGATGTGTTGTACTGGGCAGGTTATCTCTGTATTACTGATGTGTTGTACTGGACAGGTTATCTCTGTATTACTGATGTGTTGTACTGGACAGGTTATCTCTGTATTACTGATGTGTTGTACTCGACAGGTTATCTCTGTATTACTGATGTGTTGTACTGGGCAGGTTATCTCTGTATTACTGATGTGTTGTACTGGACAGGTTATCTCTGTATTACTGATGTGTTGTACTGGACAGGTTACAGATGCACGCAGTAAGGAGGCCCCCTATCTCCTGCCCAACTTTGCCTACAACCGGACAAACCGACCACACAGGTAAGTACAGACATCCCCTGCCTTGCGCATGTTCACCCATGCATACATACATAGCCCCCTCTGTTACCTCACTTAGCACGGTAGTGTAGGGACAGCGTTACACTAATTCCTTGAGTGGGGAAGGGATATTTTCATGGAATTGCTTCTCTGTTCTTCTTATGCAGGTAGATGATAGCACATAATGATATATTGACATCTGTCTATCTGCCAAATTCATTACATTTTATCTTCATGAACCAAAATTTATTTGAAGCTTGAGTTTTTGTAACATTTTTTTTCCACTTACTGTTTCCAAAACTGTCATAAAAATATGAACAGATAATTTTGTTTCAATGGATATTACAATTGACTAACCTGTGCACTCTTTCTTTTGAGTTCTGCTTGCAAGCTGTCGTTTATTTGCAAGGCGTTGTCAGAAATGATTAGATCATACAATGGTCATTTTGCTTTAAATGAAGTAAATACAAGTTGTGCAAATGAATAACAATGTTTTCATTTGCTATCACAAGTTTGCTGTGCTTTCAATCTTTGATGTGATTCAAGGGAGGTAACTCAGGTTTAAGTTCGTATGAGAAGGTGGCCTACTTACAAGCATAAAATGTTATTGTGTCACAGTCATTCCAAAGGAATATATGTTTGATATTATACATTTAATATGTAATAAAATGCAGAGATCCTAATGTGTAAATTTTTCTGTTTTAGTGTCAGTCATCATTTGTTAAAGTTGTTGTTTCATTAACCATGGACACTTAATACAGCATGTTTATCATTTATGATAAGTGGTTTGATGATCCTTGAGGTGCGTGTTGTAGTATTCCCATGATAGCACTGTATGCACATATGTAATGGGTATACAGTGGGTAGAATGATGGATCCCATTCCCTCTTGACAGCCTAGATGAGCTTGAGAACTCCAACCTGTAAGTAACAGCATGGGTAACCTCCCTTTACAACAACTTCTTCTCTTCAGGCTTCACTTGGGGCCGGGATGTTACATCGGCACAGCTGGAGACATGAACAATTCTCCCTTTGTGGGCCAGACACCCATTCATGTTTTGTGTGACATCTTTTAAGTCCAACATGCCAGTCATGTATGTTTGTGCCTTTATGAAGCTGTGCAGTGCTTCTTCAACTTTGTGTAAAAGATCTGTAAGTGTTGTGAACACACTGAAAGGCCTCTGCACAAATAAGTATCTTAGGAAATATTTTTGAAGGGTCTGCTTTTAAGCTTTTGATGTAAAGAAACTTTTGAAGGACTTATTTTGATTTGTACAGAATCTGTGGGCGCTGCCAATAAATAATGTGTTACACTACACATAAGATTCTGTCTTTGTTTACAAGACATTTTGTTTATAATGCTACTTTCACGTATCATCGAAAACATTCTTTTTCAAAATTCTCTTTCACCTAGTTTTTCATTTAGAACTGTTGGAGTGCTGTTCATGTATATCACACAGCAGCATTGTAGCTGTCTCCTGTACTGGCTTCATGACTGGCATGGAGGTTTCCTGGCTGTGTGTAACGTTGCGGCCCTGGAGCTTCTGTGTTCACATGGCTTCCTGTGTAACCAAGTAACCAGCATGCCGCTTGTCCTAACTTACACCATGTCCTAGGTGTCCTAGTTGCTGTTCAACATCATTATTTGCAGAATTTGCAGAAGTAGTCTGTTTGTTCCAGTTTCAGACACCTGATTCATAGTGAATCTTGCGTATACTTGTATTTTCCAGGTAGCATTTGTTCTGTTCTTGTCCCAACTTACACATTAATATCCAGGCATGTTATGTGTAAAATGGATTGTGACAGTGTTCTAGATATAAGATGTAGATATTGGCGCTTGTCAAGTCAGCTGGAAGCATGTATTGTTACAAGCAGTCTAGCTGGGGGCCAGTGAATGTGAGCTGCGTTGGCAAGCCAGCTGATAACAGTATTTGATGGAAACCGTATACTCAGCTGGTGGAACAGTGCCCTGAAGTGACTCAGGGTATTGTGATAACTGACTAGTGGTCAGGCTCCGCTTGGCTTATTGCATGTCATCTTGCCCTGATAATTGACTAGAATAGATCAAGTGGTCAGGCTCCGCTTGGCTTATTGCATGTCATCTTGCCCTGATAATTGACTAGAATAGATCAAGTGGTCAGGCTCCGCTTGGCTTATTGCATGTCATCTTGCCCTGATAATTGACTAGAATAGATCAAGTAGTCAGGCTCCGCTTGGCTTATTGCATGTCATCTTGCCCTGATAATTGACTAGAATAGATCAAGTGGTCAGGCTCCGCTTGGCTAATTGCATGTCATCTTGCCCTGATAATTGACTAGAATAGATCAAGTGGTCAGGCTCCACTTGGCTAATTGCATGTCATCTTGCCCTGATAATTGACTAGAATAGATCAAGTGGTCAGGCTCCGCTTGGCTTATTGCATGTCATCTTGCCCTGATAATTGACTAGAATAGATCAAGTGGTCAGGCTCCACTTGGCTAATTGCATGTCATCTTGCCCTGATAATTGACTAGAATAGATCAAGTGGTCAGGCTCCGCTTGGCTTATTGCATGTCATCTTGCCCTGATAATTGACTAGAATAGATCAAGTGGTCAGGCTCCGCTTGGCTTATTGCATGTCATCTTGCCCTGATAATTGACTAGAATATATCAAGTGGTCAGGCTCCGCTTGGCTAATTGCATGTCATCTTGCCCTGATAATTGACTAGAATAGATCAAGTGGTCAGGCTCCACTTGGCTAATTGCATGTCATCTTGCCCTGATAATTGACTAGAATAGATCAAGTGGTCAGGCTCCGCTTGGCTAATTGCATGTCATCTTGCCCTGATAATTGACTAGAATAGATCAAGTGGTCAGGCTCCGCTTGGCTTATTGCATGTCATCCTGCCCTGATAATTGACTAGAATAGATCAAGTGGTCAGGCTCCGCTTGGCTAATTGCATGTCATCTTGCCCTGATAATTGACCAGAATAGATCAAGTGGTCAGGCTCCACTTGGCTTATTGCATGTCATCCTGCCCTGATAATTGACTAGAATAGATCAAGTGGTCAGGCTCCACTTGGCTAATTGCATGTCATCTTGCCCTGATAATGTAGATTGATGCTCATGCTTCCAGTTACTAAGTTGTCTTGCCCAGACTTGATTATTGACTGGTCGTCTTGATATAGCTTGGATAGTGTTGATAACATGTTGAACAACAACCCATGGTTCTATGGTGCAGTAGTTATTGAATGCAAGGGAGGAATATTAAACAGACTTCTGTTACCACTGTTGGCTCTGGACATTTTAATAACTTCAAGCTGACACCAGGGGATTTAGAACCAGGGCCTTTGGTATGACAAATGATCGCTGTAGCCACTAGACCACTTCATTGCAAGATCTGTGAAGATCCGGGGTAGAATTGGTCTAAGCAATCCATGCTTGTCGTAAAAGGTGACTTATGGGATTGTGTGATCAGCCGTGGTGATTTGGTTGATGCATGTCATCAATTGTGTAATTGATGCTCATGATGTCAATCACTGGATTGTCTGGTCGAGACTTGATTCTTTACAGACCACCATCATATAGCTGGAATATTGCTGAGTGCGAGGTTAAACCACAAACAAACATACAACCAAACAAAACTTCAAACAAAAAGTAATTTCAGCATGTAACAGACATTAATATCTAATAGCGTCTCTGTGAAGTATTCTAACAAACAAAGTCTCCTGATTTACCATTTCAGAGACAGTTATATTGTGTATATAACTAACACATCTTAAAATGGGGAATGATTCAGCTACCATTGGCTCTAAGACTTACGACAAAAAGTCTGATATTCAAGGTTAATAATACATGCCTGAAAAATAAATTTCAGAAAACCTTGTCATCCTATAACAAAGTATGGGATGTAGACCAACAACCCTTGACAGGGAGTCACCATTGAGGGCAAGTCTCAGCAACACAAAACACCCTTTATCCTGGAGCTTTCCTTACAACATGCCTTCACTGTTAGGATGAATGATTCTTTTATCTGTCACCGTAGTTATTGCATTTGACTGGCAGCACTCTTCATCAGACCAAACCTTGCTTCTGTGTGACACTTGTGAAGCCCATTTCTGGTTTCCCCCACCGTGATATTGCTGTAATATTGCTAAAAGCGGCTCACAACCATACTTTCTTACTCTGTATGACACTGCTCTTCAGTAATAACAGTCCCCTCCTTTTTGAGTTTTGTAGGATTTATTTCATATATATACAGTAAACTATGTTTTTAACGAACAATCTTATGACAAACTGACCGATATAACAAACTTATTTTTTATTCCTGGCTATTTGTTGAATATATGCTGTATATATGCTTATAACGAACTAAGGTTATTACAAACTAAAAACCTTTTGAGTTTGTTATAACCATAGTTTACTGTATACCTCACATAATTTTTATAATCTTGTGTAGAAATGTAATTCTGTCAGTTTAACATAGATTTGTTTGTAACAATGAAGATGTTGTAAGTTGTTCAATATATGTATCGTGATATGCTAATTCATGTAAATTGAAAACAATAGTAATTGTCTGATCATTATAGCTGAATGTGTCTTGCTGTACAGGGTCCATGATCAGTCCATTGTGTGTACATTAAACCACAAGTTACCACAGTAACTGTTTGTGCTAAATAAAATGGAAGATGACTTGTACAGTCATTATTCTCTTTAGGAGAACATTTACAGAAAGTAATTAGTAGAAAGTACATTTTCAGTTTGAAATAAATCTATATAATATGTTTGAAGGTTATAAATTGAAAACGTCATGTGGTATGAGTGTTCCTGTGTGGTCTACTGATTTATGTGTTCCCGTGTGTTCTGCTGATCTATGGCACTGGTTCTTGTGCCCACTGTATGCTGTGATGAGATGTTGATGTGAGTTGTGTTCCTGTGTGATCTGCTGATCTATGGCACTGGTTCTTGTGCCCACTGTATGCCATGATGAGATGTTGGTGTGAAGTGTGTTCCTGTGTGATCTGCTGATCTATGGCACTGGTTCTTGTGCCCACTGTATGCCATGATGAGATGTTGGTGTGAAGTGTGTTCCTGTGTGTTCTGCTGATCTATGGCAGTAGTTCTTGTGCCAACTGTATGCTGTGATGAGTTGTTGGTGTGAGTTGTGTTCCTGTGTGATCTGCTGATCTATGGCACTGGTTCTTGTGCCCACTGTATGCCATGATGAGATGTTGGTGTGAAGTGTGTTCCTGTGTGTTCTGCTGATCTATGGCAGTGGTTCTAGTGCCCACTGTATGCTGTGATGAGATGTTGGTGTGAGTTGTGTTCCTGTGTGATCTGCTGATCTATGGCAGTGGTTCTAGTGCCCACTGTATTCTGTGATGAGATGTTGGTGTGAAGTGTGTTCCCGTGTGTTCTGCTGATCTATGGCACTGGTTCTTGTGCCCACTGTATGCCATGATGAGATGTTGGTGTGAAGTGTGTTCCTGTGTGATCTGCTGATCTATGGCACTGGTTCTTGTGCCCACTGTATTCTGTGATGAGATGTTGATGTGAGTTGTGTTCCTGTGTGTTCTGCTGATCTATGGCAGTGGTTCTAGTGCCCACTGTATGCTGTGATGAGATGTTGGTGTGAAGTGTGTTCCTGTGTGTTCTGCTAATCTATTGCACTGGTTCTTGTGCCCACTGTATGCCATGATGAGATGTTGGTGTGAAGTGTGTTCCTGTGTGATCTGCTGATCTATGGCAGTGGTTCTAGTGCCCACTGTATGCTGTGATGAGATGTTGGTGTGAAGTGTGTTCCTGTGTGATCTGCTGATCTATGGCAGTGTTTCTTGTGCCCACTGTATGCCATGATGAGATGTTGGTGTGAGTTGTGTTCCTGTGTGTTCTGCTGATCTGTGGCACTGGTTCTTGTGCCCACTGTATGCTGTGATGAGATGTTGGTGTGAGTTGTGTTCCTGTGTGTTCTGCTGATCTATGGCAGTGGTTCTTGTGCCCACTGTATGCTGTGATGAGTTGTTGGTGAGTTGTGTTCCTGTGTGTTCTGCTGATCTATGGCAGTGGTTCTTGTGCCCACTGTATGCCATGATGAGATGTTGGTGTGAGTTGTGTTCCTGTGTGATCTGCTGATATATGGCACTGGTTCTTGTGCTCGCTGTATGCCATGATGAGATGTTGGTGTGAAGTGTGTTCCTTTGTGTTCTGCTGATCTATGGCAGTGGTTCTTGTGCCCACTGTATTCTGTGATGAGATGTTGGTGTGAAGTGTGTTCCTGTGTGTTCTGCTGATCTATGGCACTGGTTCTTGTGCCCGCTGTATGCCATGATGAGATGTTGGTGTGAAGTGTGTTCCTTTGTGATCTGCTGATCTATGGCAGTGGTTCTTGTGCCCACTGTATGCCATGATGAGATGTTGGTGTGAAGTGTGTTCCTGTGTGATCTGCTGATCTATGACAGTGGTTCTTGTGCCCGCTGTATGCCATGATGAAATGTTGGTGTGAGTTGTGTTCCTGTGTGATCTGCTGATCTATAGCAGTGGTTCTTGTGCCCCCTGTATGCTGTGATGAGATGTTGATGAGAATGTGTTCCTGTTACCAGCTACCCCTCCAGTGAAACAGTCAAAGACAGCTGGCTCTTCTCACAGGTCCAAATTGCAGAAGCCTTGGCTGGCAGCGGCCATGACACGTCTAGGCTCTCGACACCATTCACGCACAAACCTTTTACTGCAGGTAATGCTTATGTACTGATAGAGAGGCTTCATTGTCATTGTCATTGAAACAAGACAATATTGATGGTTCTTTCATATCCTCTTGTCAGTTTTGGGGTTATATTATTTTATTTTAAAGTAAATGTGGAATCATTTGATGAAAATTCTACATTGCAGTGTTATTAGTTTGTTTCTGGTTGACTTTGTTATTGTTTGCTTTCAGAGACTCCTGATATTGGGCGAAGCGTTAGTGACATAGCGTCTATCAACATTGAGATGGAGAGTGTAGATGGTTCTCCTTCAATGCTCAGGGTAAGGTTGCAGCTGATGCTAATACTCTGCCATGACCCAAGCTTCTACCACATACTACAAGAACCTTTTAGGTTCTGTAATTACAGTGATGCAAAACAGTTTATTTAGGTTCTATTTACTGGTATTTTATATAAAAATCCTGTCAGAAGTCATGAATTGCTGTCTGGAAACATGTGGAGCCATTTACTTTGTCTCTGTATCTTGTATTTACAGGCATTCATATCATTACAATAACAGACATTTGACAATCTGATGATTAAATTGTGAATGAGGTAATGATGTAGATTTACATTTGAGCTGAGTAATGTACTCTTTGTTTCATGTTGTACATATTTTATCATGTTTTTGAGATTCTGGAGCACAATAGGTTTTTCAATAATCCATGCTTGTCATTAGAGCTGACTATTAAGGAATGGGTGGTTTTAATGTCAACCACTCTTTTGACTTTTCCAGAGCTGAGTTTTTACAGACCTCTCCAATATAGCCGAGGTCCTGCTGACTCTGACACAAAAAGATGTTCTGTTCCTTTATGATATTGTTTTCATTTGTTTACTGACTTAGTGTCTTTTTCTTTTTCCAGAGAAGACTTGATGAGGAAATAACAGTAGAGTCACTTAAGAAAATGTTGGGTATGTTTGAGTGGTTTACAGATCAGTACTGCCATTTCCATAGTAACTTGGCATCCATGGTAGAAAAACACTTCTGACCTGAGTGTGTTATAACCTGCCTGAGTGTGTGTTATGACCTGCCTGAGTGTGTGTTATGACCTGCCTAAGTGTGTGTTATGACCTGCCTGAGTGTGTGTTATGACCTGCCTGAGTGTGTGTTATGACCTGCCTGAGATTGTGTTATGAACTGCCTAAGTGTGTGTTATGAACTGCCTGAGTGTGTGTTATGACCTGCCTGAGTGTGTGTTATGACTTGCCTGAGGGTGTGTTATGACCTGCCTGAGTGTGTGTTATGACTTGCCTGAGGGTGTGTTATGACCTGCCTGAGTGTGTGTTATGAACTGCCTGAGTGTGTGTTATGACCTGCCTGAGTGTGTGTTATGACCTGCCTGAGTGTATGTTATGACCTACATGAGTGTGTTATGACCTGCCTGAGTGTGTGTTATGACCTGCCTGAGTGTGTGTTATGACCTGCCTGAGTGTGTTATGACCTGCCTAAGTGTGTGTTATGACCTGCCTGAGTGTGTGTTATGACCTGCCTGAGTGTGTGTTATGACCTGCCTGAGATTGTGTTATGAACTGCCTAAGTGTGTGTTATGAACTGCCTGAGTGTGTGTTATGACCTGCCTGAGTGTGTGTTATGACTTGCCTGAGGGTGTGTTATGACCTGCCTGAGTGTGTGTTATGAACTGCCTGAGTGTGTGTTATGACCTGCCTGAGTGTGTGTTATGACCTGCCTGAGTGTATGTTATGACCTACATGAGTGTGTTATGACCTGCCTGAGTGTGTGTTATGACCTGCCTGAGTGTGTGTTATGACCTGCCTGAGTGTGTTATGACCTGCCTGAGTGTGTGTTATGACCTGCCTAAGTGTGTGTTATGACCTGCCTGAGTGTGTGTTATGACCTGCCTAAGTGTGTGTTATGAACTGCCTGAGTGTGTGTTATGACCTGCCTGACTGTGTGTTATGACCTGCCTGAGGGTGTGTTATGACCTGCCTGAGTGTGTGTTATGAACTGCCTGAGTGTGTGTTATGACCTGCCTGAGTGTGTGTTATGACCTGCCTGAGTGTATGTTATGACCTACATGAGTGTATGTTATGACCTACATGAGTGTGTTATGACCTGCCTGAGTGTGTGTTATGACCTGCCTGAGTGTGTGTTATGACCTGCCTGAGTGTATGTTATGACCTGCCTGAGTGTGTGTTATGACCTGCCTGAGTGTGTGTTATGACCTGCCTGAGTGTGTGTTATGACCTGCCTGAGTGTGTGTTATGATCTGCCTGAGTGTGTGTTATGACCTGCCTGAGTGTGTGTTATGACCTGCCTGAGTGTGTGTTATGACCTGCCTGAGTGTGTGTTATGACTGTTACAGCAGAGGACAGCTGTGCTAGTAAGGAGCAGGAGGACAGGAAGAGAAAGGAGATCCTGGAGACCTTCCAAAAAGCTCCCTTCGAGGAGATTGTAGCGAGGTCAGAAGCAAAGGTGAGTACTTAAGGGCTTGAAGATATAAGCATAACCTTTGCCTTACTTTAAGCACAGGCACAGGCGACCAATGAAAGTAGGTTTCATTTTATTTCCAAATGTCGTTACATCTGTCCTGATTTTTATAGTTTTAGTGTTTTACAGAAAGTAGGTTTTATACTGTGCAGCCAAGAATTGCTTATTACAGCTGCCAAGACCTGCAAGAATACGTTAACAACCAAACGCCATTGGATGGTTTACACCATGTAGTATTATAGAGTATTCTCTTTTGTGAATAACCTGGTACAGTCATTTATATCATATGCAATATATGTGAAGTATATACATGTGTTTACACATATTAAATAGTCTCTCATAACTCCATAGGGTGTTGCTCAAATAAATCTGTCTGTCTGTCTGTCTCTCTGTCTGACTGTGTGGTGACTTTGTTACAGTCCAACCACTTCCACAACAAGCTGAGTGAGATCCTGGACATGGTGGAGGAGACTGTCCCGAACCCAACCACCACCACAACCGATGACGAGGGCAAGTCAACAACATCCGTGCCTGTGTTTGAGATGCAGTTCCCAGATCTCTTTGTATACTAAATCTGTGTTTTAGACTATGAACAGTCATTTATGATCACATGTTTTTGTTTTGGTTTGCTACATATTTCTGATAATTGGTTTTCACATCATGGGTCAAAACATATCTGATCATTCTGTATCACACCGCCTGACCGGTGCAGAGTGGAAAATTACAGTATCACACCAGTTTACCGTAGCAGAGTGTGTAAGAGAGACAGTCCCATGCTAGCTGCCTATAGCAGAGAGAAAAGATATGGCATCACACGGGCAGACTTTAGCAGAGTGTGTAAGAGAGACAGTCCCATGCTAGCTGCCTATAGCAGAGAGAGAAGAGATATGGCATCACACGGACAGACTGTAGCAGAGAGTGTAAGAGAGACAGTCCCATGCCAGCTGCCTATAGCAGAGAGCGAAGAGATATAGCGTCACATGAGCAGACTGTAGCAGAGTGTGTAAGAGAGCCAGTCCCATGCTAACTGCCTATAGCAGAGAGAGAAGAGATATGGCATCACACGGGCAGACTGTAGCAGAGAGTGTAAGAGAGACAGTCCCATGCTAGCTGCCTATAGCAGAGAGCAATGATATAGCGTCACACGGGCAGACTGTAGCAGAGTGTGTAAGAGAGCCAGTCCCATGCTAGCTGCCTATAGCAGAGAGCGAAGAGATATAGCGTCACATGAGCAGACTGTAGCAGAGAGTGTAAGAGAGACAGTCCCATGCCAGCTGCCTATAGCAGAGAGCGAAGAGATATGGCGTCACACGGGCAGACTTTAGCAGAGTGTGTAAGAGAGACAGTCCCATGCTAGCTGCCTATAGCAGAGAGAGAAGAGATATGGCATCACACGGGCAGACTGTAGCAGAGTGTGTAAGAGAGACAGTCCCATGCTAGCTGCCTATAGCAGAGAGAGAAGAGATATAGTGTCACATGAGCAGACTGTAGCAGAGAGTGTAAGAGAGACAGTCCAATGCCAGCTACCTATAGCAGAGAGCGAAGAGATATGGCGTCACACGGGCAGACTGTAGCAGAGTGTGTAAGAGAGACAGTCCCATGCTAGCTGCCTATAGCAGAGAGAGAAGAGATATGGCATCACACGGGCAGACTGTAGCAGAGTGTGTAAGAGAGACAGTCCCATGCTAGCTGCCTATAGCAGAGAGCGAAGAGATATGGCGTCGCACATGAGGAGACTGTAGCAGAGAGTGTGAGAGAGACAGTCCCATGTCAGCTACCTATAGCAGAGAGAGAAGAGATATGGCATCACACGGGCAGACTGTAGCAGAGTGTGTAAGAGAGACAGTCCCATGCTAGCTGCCTATAGCAGAGAGAGAAGAGATATGGCGTCGCACATGAGGAGACTGTAGCAGAGAGTGTGAGAGAGACAGTCCCATGTCAGCTCCCTATAGCAGAGAGCGAAGAGATTTGTCGTCAAACGAGCAGACTGTAGTAGAGAGTGTAAGAGAGACAGTATCACATCAGCTGACCATAGCAGTGTGCATAAGAGAGATGATGTCATGCTAGCTGACCATGGTAGGGAGCGTAAGAGGGATGATGTCATAACATCTTACCATAAAAAAGAGTGTGAGAGAGTGTCCTGTTGTTGGAAATAATGACATGAAATTATCTGCACCTTCAACTATAGTCAACGATAAGAATGTTAACTTTCGACATACTGTCCTTTTAAGTTGATGTAAGGTAAAATGAGGTTTTAACACGCATTCAAGATTGTTGCACTTGTATATTGCGGCTTTCCCTTTAAGTGTTTTTTAAAAAACTTTCTTATCCCTGTATAATGAATTTGAGAGTCATATTGTCTCTGTTCATTTGTCCATTCAGATTGTCAGAAGTATGTAGCATTTCTACCAATGCACTCATGAACAAAGCCTTCAGTATACTTGTATCTCAACCCAATCCTGAAAAGTCAGGCAGATGCAAGGTTGGAAAAGGTACATTTGCTTTCATCTTTGTAAATGTATAGATTTCTGTGCATTTCATTTAAAATCCAAACATAATGCAATTTGGTTTGGATGATAATCAACAGAAGAAAACTATTTTGACCCTCCAGAAACAAGTGAACTGAAGGCAGTTTAGTTATGAATGTAGAAATATAGTCTTGACAATTGAAGTATGGTTTGGTAATCAAGCTTTTAAAAGATCACATCATTATATCTATAGCTTTAACTATATTGTCGGCATTGTTTGAATCTTTCTGTCCCATATGATGCAATGGAGAAGCTAAATGTTCATCACTTGCACCAATAGCAACCATGTCCACAACCACAAGGCCAAAACCATGCTAGAGCCATACTAGAACCATTTGTAGAGGACCTAGATTTCTAAATAGATTACTCTAGGAGAGGTAGATCCATTTGAGAACGCCATCTTGTATCAAAGGCAGCAGTAGGATGGATGTGAACTTGTGTAGTGTTTTAGCATATGTCCTGTCTGCGAGCTACTTACATGAATACATGTGTACATACTCCATCACTTCAGTGGGGGCACTTAGAGACCAGCGGCATTCATGGGAACCTTTTTAACAAGGGTCATTCTTTGTAAATCTCAGCATTTGTAAATTGCATGTATGGTAGAAATATTTATTAGTAGCTTTGTCCACAGCATTTGTTATCCATCATTGTGACAATCATTTCACTTAGATAGTGATGTGGCATTGTGGTGTTTCACAATGAGTTCTCTTTTGTTTGTTAATACCATATGATTTGGCATGATTTATTTGTGTAGTCTGAAAATGCATTCATTGGTATTTGATGAAGTAGTCTGTCGATTTAAGGATTCTTGTTATATTCATACTGTTGTTAAACTTCCTATTGTCAGCATGGTAGAAAGCCACAAAGGGGGAGATGGCAGAGGGTATAGACTGGTTTAAGTGGTATACTAGCCAGGGGAAGTCTTTCAAAGTAGCAAGTGGCAATAACACAGTGAGAATACAGCAGGGGAGGAGCCTGTTACATCCAGTGGGAGGAGCCTCATACATCAAGTAGGAATACAGCAGGGGGAGGAGTGTGATACATCCATTGGGCGTACGGCAGGGGGAGAAGTGTGATACATCCAGTGGGAATACAGCAGGGGGAGGGGTCTGTTAGATCCAGTCAGAATACAGCAGGGGAGGAGCCTGATACATCCAGTGGGAGGAGCCTGATACATCCAGTAGGAATACAGCAGGGGAGGAGTCTGATACATCCATTGGGAGTATGGCAGGGGGAGAAGTCTGATACATCCAGTGGGAGTACAGCAGATGAAGAGTCTGATACATCCAGTAGGAATACAGCAGGGGGAGGAGTCTGATACATCCAGTGGGAATACAGCAGGGGAGGAGTCCGATACATCCAGTGGGAGTACAGCAGGGGAGGTGTCTGATAAATCCAGAAGGAATACAGCAGGGGAGGTGTCTGATACATCAAGTGGGAGTACAGCAGGGAGAGGAGTCTGATACATCCAGTAGGAATACAGCAGGGGAGGAGTCTGATACATCCAGTAGGAATACAGCAGGGGAGGTGTCTGATACATCCAGTGGGAATACAGCAGGGGAGGTGTCTGATACATCCAGTGGGAATACAGCAGGGGAGGTGTCTGATACATCCAGTGGGAATACAGCAGGGGAGGTGTCTGATACATCCAGTGGGAATACAGCAGGAGAGGAGTCTGATACATCCAGTGGGAATACAGCAGGGGAGGTGTCTGATACATCCAGTGGGAATACAGCAGGGGAGGTGTCTGATACATCCAGTGGGAATACAGCAGGGGAGGAGTCTGATACATCCAGTGGGAATACAGCAGGGGAGGTGTCTGATACATCCAGTGGGAATACAGCAGGGGAGGAGTCTGATACATCCAGTGGGAATACAGCAGGGGAGGAGTCTGATACATCCAGTGGGAATACAGCAGGGGAGGTGTCTGATACATCCAGTGGGAATACAGCAGGGGAGGTGTCTGATACATCCAGTGGGAATACAGCAGGGGAGGTGTCTGATACATCCAGTGGGAATACAGCAGGGGAGGAGTCTGATACATCCAGTGGGAATACAGCAGGGGAGGAGTCTGATACATCCAGTGGGAATACAGCAGGGGAGGTGTCTGATACATACAGTGGGAATACAGCAGGGGAGGTGTCTGATACATCCAGTGGGAATACAGCAGGGGAGGTGTCTGATACATCCAGTGGGAATACAGCAGGGGAGGTGTCTGATACATCCAGTGGTATACAGCAGGGGAGGTGTCTGATACATCCAGTGGGAATACAGCAGGGGAGGTGTCTGATACATCCAGTGGGAATACAGCAGGGGAGGAGTCTGATACATCCAGTGGGAATACAGCAGGGGAGGTGTCTGATACATCCAGTGGGAATACAGCAGGGGAGGAGTCTGATACATCAAGTGGGAATACAGCAGGGGAGGTGTCTGATACATCCAGTGGGAATACAGCAGGGGAGGTGTCTGATACATCCAGTAGGAATACAGCAGGGGAGGAGTCTGATACATCCAGTGGGAATATAGCAGGGGAGGTGTCTGATACATCCAGTGGGAATACAGCAGGGGAGGTGTCTGATACATCAAGTGGGAGTACAGCAGGGAGAGGAGTCTGATACATCAAGTGGGAGTACAGCAGGGAGAGGAGTCTGATACATCCAGTGGGAATACAGCAGGGGAGGTGTCTGATACATAAAGTGGGAGTACAGCAGGGAGAGGAGTCTGATACATCCAGTAGGAATACAGCAGGGAGAGGAGTCTGATACATCAAGTGGGAGTACAGCAGGGGAGGTGTCTGACACATCCAGTGGGAATACAGCAGGGGAGGTGTCTGATACATCCAGTAGGAATACAGCAGGGAGAGGAGTCTGATACATCCAGTGGGAATACAGCAGGGGAGGTGTCTGATACATCAAGTAGGAGTACAGCAGGGGGAGGAGTCTGATACATCAAGTGGGAGTACAGCAGGGGAGGTGTCTGATACATCAAGTGGGAGTACAGCAGGGGAGGTGTCTGATACATCCAGTGGGAATACAGCAGGGGAGGTGTCTGATACATCAAGTGGGAGTACAGCAGGGGAGGTGTCTGATACATCCAGTGGGAATACAGCAGGGGAGGTGTCTGATACATCAAGTAGGAGTACAGCAGGGGGAGGAGTCTGATACATCAAGTGGGAATACAGCAGGGGAGGTGTCTGATACATCAAGTGGGAATACAGCAGGGGAGGTGTCTGATACATCCAGTGGGAATACAGCAGGGGAGGTGTCTGATACATCCAGTGGGAATACAGCAGGGGAGGTGTCTGATACATCCAGTGGGAATACAGCAGGGGAGGTGTCTGATACATCCAGTGGGAATACAGCAGGGGAGGTGTCTGATACATCAAGTGGGAGTACAGCAGGGGAGGTGTCTGATACATCCAGTGGGAATACAGCAGGGGAGGTGTCTGATACATCCAGTGGGAATACAGCAGGGGAGGTGTCTGATACATCCAGTGGGAATACAGCAGGGGAGGTGTCTGATACATGAAGTGGGAGTACAGCAGGGGAGGTGTCTGATACATCCAGTGGGAATACAGCAGGGGAGGTGTCTGATACATCAAGTGGGAATACAGCAGGGGGAGGAGTCTGATACATCAAGTGGGAATACAGCAGGGGAGGTGTCTGATACATCCAGTGGGAATACAGCAGGGGAGGTGTCTGATACATCCAGTGGGAATACAGCAGGGGAGGTGTCTGATACATCCAGTGGGAATACAGCAGGGGAGGTGTCTGATACATCCAGTGGGAATACAGCAGGGGAGGTGTCTGATACATCCAGTGGGAATACAGCAGGGGAGGAGTCTGATACATCCAGTGGGAATACAGCAGGGGAGGTGTCTGATACATCCAGTGGGAATACAGCAGGGGAGGTGTCTGATACATCAAGTGGGAGTACAGCAGGGGAGGTGTCTGATACATCCAGTGGGAATACAGCAGGGGAGGTGTCTGATACATCCAGTGGGAATACAGCAGGGGAGGTGTCTGATACATCAAGTGGGAATACAGCAGGGGAGGTGTCTGATACATCCAGTGGGAATACAGCAGGGGAGGTGTCTGATACATCAAGTGGGAGTACAGCAGGGAGAGGAGTCTGATACATCCAGTAGGAATACAGCAGGGAGAGGAGTCTGATACATCCAGTAGGAATACAGCAGGGAGAGGAGTCTGATACATCCAGTAGGAATACAGCAGGGAGAGGAGTCTGATACATCCAGTAGGAGTACAGCAGGGAGAGGAGTCTGATACATCCAGTAGGAATACAGCAGGGGGATATTTGTAACATTACCAGTTTGCACTGAATGTTAATTTATTAATATGTATCAGGCACTCTAAATTAATGAATAAGGATTGATATAGTATAATCTGTATCTTGTTTTTCTTTTTACAGATATTTTGCAGCAATATGTGTATGTAGTGTGCATGTTGTGAGACATTTAAATTTGGAACCGACTAGATGTTATGTTTTAATCATGTCACAGCAAAGTCTTCATTTTGTGTCTTGTCAGGCAATATTAGTTGTAGTAGGATCATGAGGGGTACATCGTGTTTCATGCATCTCGTATAGGTTCTAGGAACCTAACACGGTACCTGAGCTATTGAGCTGAGGTTAACTAGTGCTATGTCACATGACATTCCTTGATTCAGAAAAAGTGTGGAGCTTTTTGCTTGTAAGCGGGGTGTAAGGGATTTGCAGCCTGTCTTGCTCCTGACGTCATATTAATGATTCATTCTCCCGCTAAGAAATTTATTTCCCTCCAAGGCAGGTCACACAGTATTTTATCAAGATCATGTGGATCAATTTGATCTCATCATTCTGACATGGAGGTATGATAATGTTTCATATTAATTATGAAATACGTAAATGAATAAATTAACATGACAACAATTCAGTCGCCATTTAAAAACAGTGATAGCCAAATTATTTTTACAATATTTAAGTATAAACATTGATAATTCATGTAAACTGCTGTGTTATTAAATGTTTTTATAAATGGGTACCATATTGAAATGTTGTAAACATCTTGTATATATAACCTGCTTATGGTTCATATATTGTGTACATAATGTCACTCCTCCCTAGAAATGTGATCTTAGCAGTGTTGTATATATAGACATTAAGGGCTTTGGGGGTCCTGGCAACAGGACTTTACTGTTGAGAACATGGATGTCCAAGGACCCCTTGACTTTCATCCTTAATTTCAACCACTGCTAAGGCTGTGTGTATATTAGATTACTAAATATCTGTGATAAACATTGGGTATTTATTTCCACTAGTCTCTCCTTAGGCACATATAGAGCTCTATTTCTTTGTCTTTCCACATGTGTATGTATGCTTGTATGAATTTATGTTGTTGAAATGAAATCATGAAAAAATACTCTACTCATTAACATTAATGGATTCTTTTGGTGCAGATTTGGTGCAGATTAAGTTTGTTGATACCATTTCTTCATCATGGAATATTATTATGTGAATGCAATTAATGTAACCTTTGAGAGACAGCAGAATCTGACTTCATGAAACAGTACCTTGTGATTCGTACGTCCAAACTGGGTAAATGTCAGTGTTAATTGAAAATTATGTATTTTGTGATTGGAATAGCAATGAAATCCTTTCATGAAATACCATTATATGTAACTTCACAATGAACTATGTTTTGGATTTAGTGTTAAATTAATAAAACCATTTGTTTTCTTGTGGTTGGGGTAATAATTTTAACATTTCTGCAAGATGTAAAATAGCCCCTGAGAAAACTTTGAAAACCAAACTAATGGGTTGGTGACAGATAAATAATAAACATTGTGTTTAACAACGAAATGACTGTCTGAGATACAAGCATTAAATATGTATTAGGGTAGGAACCCAATATTTCTTATGGCATTAATGTGAATATTAAATTGATGTATTTATGAATGGTAATGCCTCACAAGGGGTAATTGAATGCTGACTCTGTAAGGGAGGTGGTAGTCACAATGACCAGCCACACACGTTTACACCAGGAAATCACAGTTCTAGGATTAATAAGACATCATGCTGATTAGGAAATGTCATAATTTTAGTATGACATAAGGATGTTTCCCCACAAGCTACAGCTGTTTTACTAGTCATGGTAGTGTCTTTCAGCCACCTGAAATAGTAAGCATCATAGTAACCAAGTTCTCTGAGGTCCAGCATCCCAGTCCCTCATGCTTGACATGAACCAACTGGGGATTGGCTGATCATGATGGCTTTTGAGTAGGAATACTCCATGCAGGTAAGACAGGCTATTAGTTGATTGTGTGTCGTCATACTAACAGTGGATTGGTGCTCACATTATTGACCATTGGTTTGTCTGGTTGATTTGATTACTTAGAAATCACCATAGAGTGGCTGCAATATTGCTGACTCAGGTATAAAACCGAATTTAGTGTCTCCAACTGTGACCAGCCAGATGACAAGACGCAGATGACATATATGGCTGCTTTTACTTGACTTTTATCAATCTGATTTAAGAGTATTACATGATATGTCTGTAATGCATGATTGAAATATTTATAGACAGATTTTACGAGCTCACTTTGCCTGTTAGGATGAGAAAATGTTTATGGAACAAACAATACTGTTTAAAAACAGTACAGGAATTGTGTTAGATGACCAAGGTTTGCTTGTGAAATCTGTTCAACTCATGGAATGTTGGTGTTGCTGAACGGTTCATTGTCCTCACTTTACACTTCTGAGTACCTGGCGCACAGACTAAATACAGTAATGTACCTGGCTGGGCAAATCATCTGCTTTTCACGTGACAACTGTGAAGGCTAATGTGTATTTAAGAAGAGAATGTGGTGTCAGAAAGCCAACAGGAATGGCAACACTGCTGAATCAAAGACACATGTTTCTTTTGATGATTTTTCATAAAAATATGACTCTGTTCTGGTGAGAGTTGCAACACTGGTTGTAGTTCTAGTTGCAGATGCTGGTAAGTGCGGGTACACAGCAGTGTGTTTGCTTTACGCCAGGTACTGAAAGGTTGTTGACAATGCTCCTGTCAGCACTGTGTTCCATCTATATATGTGGCCCTGCATCATCACACTGTTTGAATGTTAGATCTAAGAGGAGCGAATGTTGACTCAACTTCATTTGTGCTATTAAAATATTATAAATACACATCTCTGTTGTCTTATTGCTAGGAGGTAAGCGAGTTACAACCCATAATAACACAACTTGGCACTGAAAAATATATTAATTTGTAATTAAATCTGACAGGAATACGTAAGCAACTAATGTGAATTAATGTTTGACAGTGTGCTGTCATTTCATAAAATAATACTTATTGCAATTAAATTTCCATTATTTCTGGAACTTCCACATGAAGTCTACCATGAATCAAATTATCGTTTTGTTTATAAGACATGAAATCCTGTGTGAATGTCAGGTTGGTATTGATATCCAGTAGAATGCTTGTGTTACCAAGTGACAACCCTGTGTGAATGTCGGGTTGGTATAGATGTCCAGCAGCCTATGCTTGTGGTACCAGGTGACAACCCTGTGTGAATGTCGGGATGGTATAGATATCCAGCAGCCTATGCTTGTGTTACCAAGTGACAACCCTGTGTGAATGTCGGGTTGGTATAGATATCCAGCAGCCTATGCTTATGGTACCAGGTGACAACCCTGTGTGAATGTCAGGTTGGTATAGATATCCAGCAGCCTATGCTTGTGTTACCAGGTGACAACCCTGTGTGAATGTCAGGTTTGTATAGATATCCAGCAGCCTATGCTTGTGTTACCAAGTGACAACCCTTTGTGAATGTCGGGTTGGTATAGATGTCCAGCAGCCTATGCTTGTGGTACCAGGTGACAACCCTGTGTGAATGTCAGGTTGGTATGGATGTCCAGCAGCCTATGCTTGTGTTACCAAGTGACAACCCTGTTTGAATTTCGGGTTGGTATAGATATCCAGCAGCCTATGCATGTGGTACCAGGTGACAACCCTGTGTGAATGTCAGGTTGGTATAGATATCCAGCAGCCTATGCTTGTGTTACCAAGTGACATCCCTGTTTGAATGTCAGGTTTGTATAGATATCCAGCAGCCTATGCTTGTGTTACCAGGTGACAACCCTGTGTGAATTTCGGGTTGGTATAGATATCCAGCAGCCTATGCTTGTTTTACCAGGTGACAACCCTGTACGAATGTCGGGTTGGTATAGATGTCCAGCAGCCTATGCTTATGGTACCAGGTGACAACCCTGTGTGAATGTCGGGTTGGTATTGATATCCAGTAGAATGCTTGTGTTACCAAGTGACAACCCTGTGTGAATGTCGGGTTGGTATAGATATCCAGCAGCCTTTGCTTGTCGTACAAGGTGAATGAATGGGTCAGGTAGTCAGGCTTCGTAACTTGGTGATTTGAATGTCATCGTAAATAACGGCATTGGATATTACTCACAATATCAGTCACGAGTTTGTCTGGTTCAGACCCCATTTACCACCTCCGCGGTCACGTAGATGGAGTGTCTGCCGGGAGAGTGGAAGTATGTGTCTGACCGGTCGTAGGGTATTCATGTATGTGATGCGTCGTAAGGTGTGCATCTGATGTAATGTAAGGTGGTTTGTGATGTGAGATTGTTTGTGATGTAAGGTAAGGTATGTTTGTGATGTGATGTAAAGTATGTTTGTGATGTGACTTAAGGTATATTTGTGATGTGTCATAGGGTATGTGTCTGATGTGTCGTAAGATTACCAACATTCCAGCCATATCATGACATTCTGAAAATACTAGAGTCTGTGCCAAACAGATTTATGTTAAGAGCGATCCAGTTCTTCGAACAGGGTGACAGCTTAAAGCATTGCCCACATTGTCAACAACGGTTTGCCGCCCGTAGGCTTTTACGACAAGCAACGTGGTACACATTCATAATACATCTTATGCAGTTGTAACCCATGTTGTTTGTTGTTTAACGCTGCACTCAGCAATATTCCACCTATATTACATCAGTCTGTAAATAATCGTCTTCCACATGAAGTCTACAATGAATCAAATTATCGTTTTGTTTATAAGACATGAAATCCTGTGTGAATGTCGGGTTGGTATTGATATCCAGTAGAATGCTTGTGTTACCAAGTGACAACCCTGTGTGAATGTCGGGTTGGTATAGATATCCAGCAGCCTTTGCTTGTCGTACAAGGTGAATAAATGGGTCAGGTAGTCAGGCTTCGTAACTTGGTGATTTGAATGTCATCGTAAATAACGGCATTGGATATTACTTACAATATCAGTCACGAGTTTGTCTGGTTCAGACCCCATTTACCACCTCCGCGGTCACGTAGATGGAGTGTCTGCCGGGAGAGTGGAAGTATGTGTCTGACCGGTCGTAGGGTATTCATGTATGTGATGCGTCGTAAGGTGTGCATCTGATGTAATGTAAGGTGGTTTGTGATGTGAGATTGTTTGTGATGTAAGGTAAGGTATGTTTGTGATGTGATGTAAAGTATGTTTGTGATGTGACTTAAGGTATATTTGTGATGTGTCATAGGGTATGTGTCTGATGTGTCGTAAGGTTACCAACATTCCAGCCATATCATGACATTCTGAAAATACTAGAGTCTGTGCCAAACAAATTTATGTTAAGAGCGATCCAATTCTTCGAACAGGGTGACAGCTTAAAGCATTGCCCACATTGTCAACAACGGTTTGCCGCCCATAGGCTTTTACGACAAGCAACGTGGTACACATTCATAATACATCTTGTGCAGTTGTAACCCATGTTGTTTGTTGTTTAACGCTGCACTCAGCAATATTCCACCTATATTACATCAGTCTGTAAATAATCGTCTTCCACATGAAGTCTACAATGAATCAAATTATCGTTTTGTTTATAAGACATGAAATCCTGTGTGAATGTCGGGTTGGTATTGATATCCAGTAGAATGCTTGTGTTACCAAGTGACAACCCTGTGTGAATGTCGGGTTGGTATAGATGTCCAGCAGCCTATGCTTGTGGTACCAGGTGACAACCCTGTGTGAATGTCGGGTTGGTATAGGTATCCAGCAGCCTATGCTTATGATACCAGGTGACAACCCTGTGTGAATGTCGGGTTGGTATAGATATCCAGCAGCCTATGCTTGTGTTACCAGGTGACAACCCTGTGTGAATGTCAGGTTTGTATAGATATCCAGCAGCCTATGCTTGTGTTACCAAGTGACAACCCTGTGTGAATTTCGGGTTGGTTTAGATATCCAGTAGCCTATGCTTGTGGTACCAGGTGACAACCCTGTGTGAATGTCAGGTTGGTATAGATGTCCAGCAGCCTATGCTTGTGTTACCAGGTGACGACCCTGTACGAATGTCGGGTTGGTATAGATGTCCAGCAGCCTATGCTTTTGTTACCAAGTGACAACCCTGTGTGAATGTCGGGTTGATATAGATATCCAGCAGCCTTTGCTTGTCGTACAGGGTGAATGAATGGGTCAGGTAGTCAGGCTTCGTAACTTGGTGATTTGAATGTCATCGTAAATAACGGCATTGGATATTACTCACAATATCAGTCACGAATTTGTCTGGTTCAGACCCCATTTACCACCTCCGCGGTCACGTAGATGGAGTGTCTGCCGGGAGAGTGGAAGTATGTGTCTGACCGGTCGTAGGGTATTCATGTATGTGATGCGTCGTAAGGTGTGCATCTGATGTAATGTAAGGTGGTTTGTGATGTGAGATTGTTTGTGATGTAAGGTAAGGTATGTTTGTGATCTGATGTAAAGTATGTTTGTGATGTGACTTAAGGTATATTTGTGATGTGTCATAGGGTATGTGTCTGATGTGTCGTAAGGTTACCAACATTCCAGCCATATCATGACATTCTGAAAATACTAGAGTCTGTGCCAAACAAATTTATGTTAAGAGCGATCCAATTCTTCGAACAGGGTGACAGCTTAAAGCATTGCCCACATTGTCAACAACGGTTTGCCGCCCATAGGCTTTTACGACAAGCAACGTGGTACACATTCATAATACATCTTGTGCAGTTGTAACCCATGTTGTCTGTTGTTTAACGCTGCACTCAGCAATATTCCACCTATATTACATCAGTCTGTAAATAATCGTCTTCCACATGAAGTCTACAATGAATCAAATTATCGTTTTGTTTATAAGACATGAAATCCTGTGTGAATGTCGGGTTGGTATTGATATCCAGTAGAATGCTTGTGTTACCAAGTGACAACCCTGTGTGAATGTCGGGTTGGTATAGATGTCCAGCAGCCTATGCTTGTGGTACCAGGTGACAACCCTGTGTGAATGTCGGGTTGGTATAGGTATCCAGCAGCCTATGCTTATGGTACCAGGTGACAACCCTGTGTGAATGTCGGGTTGGTATAGATATCCAGCAGCCTATGCTTGTGTTACCAGGTGACAACCCTGTGTGAATGTCAGGTTTGTATAGATATCCAGCAGCCTATGCTTGTGTTACCAAGTGACAACCCTGTGTGAATTTCGGGTTGGTTTAGATATCCAGTAGCCTATGCTTGTGGTACCAGGTGACAACCCTGTGTGAATGTCAGGTTGGTATAGATGTCCAGCAGCCTATGCTTTTGTTACCAAGTGACAACCCTGTGTGAATGTCGGGTTGGTATAGATATCCAGCAGCCTTTGCTTGTCGTACAGGGTGAATGAATGGGTCAGGTAGTCAGGCTTCGTAACTTGGTGATTTGAATGTCATCGTAAATAACGGCATTGGATATTACTCACAATATCAGTCACGAATTTGTCTGGTTCAGACCCCATTTACCACCTCCGCGGTCACGTAGATGGAGTGTCTGCCGGGAGAGTGGAAGTATGTGTCTGACCGGTCGTAGGGTATTCATGTATGTGATGCGTCGTAAGGTGTGCATCTGATGTAATGTAAGGTGGTTTGTGATGTGAGATTGTTTGTGATGTAAGGTAAGGTATGTTTGTGATGTGATGTAAAGTATGTTTGTGATGTGACTTAAGGTATATTTGTGATGTGTCATAGGGTATGTGTCTGATGTGTCGTAAGGTTACCAACATTCCAGCCATATCATGACATTCTGAAAATACTAGAGTCTGTGCCAAACAAATTTATGTTAAGAGCGATCCAATTCTTCGAACAGGGTGACAGCTTAAAGCATTGCCCACATTGTCAACAACGGTTTGCCGCCCATAGGCTTTTACGACAAGCAACGTGGTACACATTCATAATACATCTTGTGCAGTTGTAACCCATGTTGTTTGTTGTTTAACGCTGCACTCAGCAATATTCCACCTATATTACATCAGTCTGTAAATAATCGTCTTGACCAGACAATTCAGTGGCTGACATCAGGAGCATCGATCTACACAATTTGGATAAGATGACATGCATCAACCAAGTCAACGAGTCTGACCACCCGATTACGTTCAACGCCTCTTCTAACAAGTATATTCGCCTCTTACGGCAAGCATGAGTTGTCAATGACCATTTCTACTCGGGTAGTAACCTTTATGTAAAAGTGTTTGTAAGATCCTGCAGCACGAAGGATCCTCGATACTAACCGGTCAAATCTATACTGAGAACATTTTCAATAATTAAATACAGCATCTGTGACCTCATGCATCCTTGTAAATGCATAAAAGAATCCACAAGAGTTGTTTTGTACAGACACAATATATCCAAAACAAATCTAATATCCTCATAATACATTAGTATTATTTCAAAATGATCTTAAATGTTATAAGCCTTTAAGTTGGTAATACGCCGCACCCTACAGGAGAATAGGCAATTTGAACTGCAATGAAAGTAATATTTTAACGACTTCCGAAATTCCACTGCTTAAACTTTGAGAAAGGGACATGTGAACATGTTAATTTATTTGAAAAATGAACAAGGTAAATGTCCTTTATTTGAAACACCCCACGTTGATTGCATAATGTATAAATATACATCAACAACACAAACATAAAATGTAGACATTGAAATAAATTATTGTAACAGTATTTGAAGTTCTATATAATAGATTCTATAGTGCAATCACTGTGTTTGTTATATTCGTTTCTAGTTCTCAATATTGCATGGAGGTGCCATTTGCTCATTTCTGAAAGAGAATCTGTTATAAAGAAATTCAAATGCTTTAGGCAACCAGATGTTACAATGAAGTAAAACACTGGGCTAGATGAAAAGTGCATCTTTGTTCCGAAATTCAAATTGAGATTACATTATTTGAGTTTGGCCTCACTCACGACCAATCAGTAAGTTCAACTACAGGTATATGACATGAGTTCACTCACGTAGTCACTCAAATATAGATGTGCTCATGTGAAGAGCATTGCCATTGTGTTCAGGGTATAAATGTGAATTAATGATACCTTTCAACATGTCTTTCCAACGTCACGGGGATGTCGGCATCGCTGACTGGACGGTGTCATGTTTAAGGTCAATAAGAGAAAAAAGGAGAGTTGGATTTCATGGAAGTTCGTCTATTTTTCATTTCCTAATTTGTATTTACCCAAGTGCTTGTAATCACATTAAATTTCTTTGGTTCTGAAAAGGCAACCAGCCTTATACGCATCGCCCGCTTTGTTATTCCTTACATCACAAAGGTCAATCTCAGGGTGATGAAGCATCCTGACCACCTGGTAAGTGTTTATTCCAATTGTCGGCTCCCAGCCCAGATGGTTAGCGTTGACATCATCTCGTACTCCCGGGTACCCTTTCAGTGCTGGATAAACAGATACCGCTTCTTTTACTTAGGTACCGTGCTTGCTGTTGATGTTGACAATAGCACATGGCAGATAACTGACAATCAAGTGTACTTTGTTGTGATTGTGTCCAAGGGCGCACGTTCGCTCAGAGGGGGTAGCTCAGGGTTGAAGGCAGAAGGCCAAACTTGGGGGTGAAGTTTTAGAAGACTGCAGCCATGTTTATCGTTGATGGGGAATAATGTTGATAGTAATCACGTGACAGACGCACACCGGGACCGAGTGGCCAATGATAGTTTTTAATATAATAAGCATTAGAAATGTGTATTTATTGCGTATTAGATGAATATAGTTTTTTTTGTATTAGCAAGTATATTTTACCCATCTTTGTCGCCTACATATCCGTATGAAGTGGCCCGTCTGTTTTACATAGGCTGTATACTATTTTTAAATGCAAGTCGGATGAGACGTCAATAAACATTCTGTCTGTCTGCCTAAGATCCGGCTACGTATAGTAACGAGGTGTTGATAGACAGCTGGGGATTAAAGGTCCTCCCTGGAAGGGCTTATGATTGGAGGGGGATACGCCGAATGTTTCCTGTTTCACTTTGGACACATATTGAAACAATTAGGTATTTTGGATAAGTGCAGTTTTAAAGAAACCTATTGAAGAGGTTTGTACTATAACCAACCCTGCAACAGAAAAGATACAGATTAAAGTTGGTCAAACAGGCCAAACTAAAGAAACGTGTCCGTGGTTACCTCTGTGTAACTACTCCCAACAAAACATGTCACACTACCAGCATTGGAACAATCAAATATGAAGAATCTCCCAAATCTGTCTCGAATATCAAAAGGATTCAAGGAAGAATGAATGAATAATATACACTAAATTACATTTTCAACATAACCTAGTAGTGGCCATATGTCAGCACGTTTGAGAGACACCCATTAAGGCTTGGGTTTTTAGAGAGAATAGAATAATTTACAACGGGTCATGCCAAAAGCTGCACAGGCCATTCCGTTCAAGTGGGCTCGGAGCTGGACTGGTGAGATGGTTACGGTTATACCACATGACCAACTACAGTATATTTAACCCTTCACATATATTCCACCCAACAAGTTTTTTGAATTGTAGTACGAAACTATTCCGTACGAAACAAAGCACCATCGTCCAACATTCACGCTGTTTTATCAAGGGACCATTCCAGCCTTGAGGAATCTCGCCTTGACAGCGGTGGAAATACTGGTTGAAAAGTTGAGCATAGTTAAATCCTGTGTAACGAAATCTGTCATATATTTGTCCTTGGCCCATCGATAATGAAAAATATGTGCCATATCTTCTCTCACAAGATTTGTTACGTATCCCTTTTTATAATTCCACACATAGTGCATGAACACATCTTCCACTCTGTCCGGGTTCAACATAGCCTTTGTCCTTATCTTGGGACTGTTTGTCCGAGAACGGAGCGTGTACAACAAAGGAGCTATCTTGTATTTCTTGGCGACTTGTTTCATTTTATACTTTGCAGTGGTCTGGTTCCTATAGGTAGGATAGAAGACATTTCTGAACAGCAGAGACCCGGCAGGTTTGGATGTATTCTGAGACTTCAGGAATAGGTCGTCCGCCATTTCCAACAATGTTTTGTGTTTGAGTGGTATAACAATCTCATCAAAGTCCATCACCATCACATACCTAGCTGTGTGGACTTGGGATAGGACGCAGTCGTTGATGACACCTAGCTGGCCCCAGTAACGTATTACAGGTCTTGGCACTGGTAGGTTCCAGGTTCTCAACTCAACTACTCCCTCTGATTCGTAACTTTTCAGGAGTTTGGATACGCTGAAGGAGCCACTTAGGTTGTAAAAGACAAACTTATCAACACCAAATAGACGGCTGATTTCTATATTTGCCGCAAGCTCGGCAACATTCCGATATTTGAAGAGAAATGCATTGTAGCAGCGTGTTATGTTGTTCTTGGGACCAGGATACCGCACAGTCAAATTGTTCAAAAAGACTTTATCAAACACATGAAGTGACACGAATTCTGGTTGAATCGTCATCTTTCCCAGAGAACACAGAACAAATCCAGCACGGTATCTGCAAATATATATATTACTTATTAAATATAATACTTATATGATAATAAACGAGCTTTCATTTTCATATCAAGGGTATGACTCGAGCGGAATAATACATTACGTGGGACATTAACTTGATATGAAATAGGAACGAGATTTGTATTCTGCCTAATACCAACGTTGATTTTTTAGGAAAATAACAAACATCCATTCGTCCCTACGACCCGTGAATATTAGAATAGGTCTTCAGGCAACCCATGCTTGTCGTAAAAGGCGACTATGCTTGTCGTAAAAGGCGACTATGCTTGTCGTAAGAGGCGACTAACGGGATCGGGTGGTCAGGCTCGCTGACTTGTTGATGCTTGTCATCGTATCCCATGCTCCTGATAACAATCGCTCGATTATTTACAGATCGCCGTCATACAGCTGGAATATTGTTGAATGTGACGTTAAACAACAAACAAACATACATTTTTCCTTATATAAAACCTAAAGGCAAATTTTCTTCATGACATTGTCGCCTTTCATTCCCCCTTAGTGATAAATAATTATCTTACATTCATAAAGAAACACGTTTTATGGTGAGAAGGCTGACATAATTTAATTTGCCGTCGCGACTACACACAGCCCGCAAACTACTGCCGTACTGTGAGACAGACTATTATAAACACGTCCCATTTTAATTCTGGAAACCCAAAAGTCCAGAAACTCTACGCTCTTTGCCCAGTCTCGGTTAAAGGTATTTACAAAATTAAACACGCCTTTTTCATGGGAACATACCAAGGAAGAAAAAATGAAAAAAATTGTTTTTAAAAACTCAATATTTAGACTATGTCGCCCATGGGCCTGCCCATGGGCGAAGTGTGGCCCATGGGTAGGCCCATGGGCAGGCCCATGGGCGAGAACATGTTCCTTTACTTTAAACTCATGATTTTGTTTCGCAAATACATTAAATGTATTTATTGAAGTATCATGACACAAAATTTAACTCATTTTAACTTAATTCAACGATTTTATAGCGATATTGAAATATTTCGCCCATGGGCGAGAAAAAGGTTTGGCCCATGGGCAGGCCCATGGGTAGGCCCATGGGTAGGCCCATGGGCGAGAATATGTTCCTTTACTTAAAACTCCTGTTTTTGTTTCGCAAATACATTTAATGTATTCATTCAAGTATCATGACACAAAATTAAACTCATTTTAACTTAATTCAACGATTTTATAGCAATATTGAAATATTTCGCCCATGGGCGAGAAAAAGGTTTGGCCCATGGGCAGGCCCATGGGCGAGAACATGTTTCTTTACTCAAAACTCATGTTTTTCTTTCGCAAATACATTAAATGTATTTATTCAAGTATCATGACACAAAATTTAACTAATTTTTACTTAATTCAACTATTTTACGGCGTTATTAAAATATTTCGCCCATGTTTTCGTCAGTCCCTTTCAAGCATCAACTAACTGTTTGCAAAGTATATTGTATCATGTGAAATATACTTTATATTATATCATTACATTACTATTTAAAAAGGGCTTTTGGTTGGATGTTTCCTTTAGTTCTACAAATTTCACCTGTTTTACATATTGTAGCGATCTTTAATGAACCCGGCCTTACCTCTCAAAACGTTTTGACAGTTTATCATACGAATTCATGTGCGTGTACTCAAATTCATTGGAGTTATTTTCCACAACATTAAATTTTAGTTAGTTTCTATTTCATTTCCCATTTTATGTCCCGTTGATACATCACACTGGGCAATTACGTGACACTAGGTATGCAATATACAGGTACGCGTGCGCGTATTTTAATGAAAAAAACTATTCGTCTTTTATTGCATAATGTTTGGCTGAATATCTTACATTCTAACGAAATCTCGAAATAATTATTTAATTACATGCGGTTTCGAACTGACCAGTAGGAATTATGTTTCAATGCGATTGAGGAAAACGTGAGTGAATATTGTGACACTAAAGCAACTTTTAACTGCATTGTCACTTTTGGTATGAAAATGGTAACAGTTCAGAAAAAACAACAGCCTTCTTATGATAATTCTCATTAGTACGTTGTATCTAATTACAGTGTCGGCCTTATTTACAGGTGATTCTACAATACCTGCTCTCGGTCAATTACGATCTACCACACCACGCATGAATAAACAGTTATGCAGGTGTTGCTGTGGGCAAATACCTAGCCTGAAAATGTTTATTTTTTTTAGGATACATGTTTTACAAATGTTCGTTGATATGTGGATATATTAAGCACAAAGACAAAAAAATGTTTATGAAAGATGAATTAGTGCCTTGATATATTCATCGAGATGTGTATCATCGTTTAATGGGGTCATTCAATAAACGTATGTTTGGAGGAGATATCAAAGGAGCCGCCCAATATACACAGTGTCGTCCGGTGAACTACCATCCCACCCTGTCCATTAGAGTTATGTAATCGGTACACAAATATATTTGATGCGGTGTCAGTGTGGAAGGAGTTTGAATTACGTCCGCCACTTGCCACAGAAATCCTCAAAGTATAGAAACAATAAACAAGGTCAATCCGTACTAATTACCTAGTGACGCACGCAACAACGACTGTCAATAGGGAAAATGGTGAAAACAAATTGAAATAGATTTTAATAAAACATTATTGTACTAAATAACTCGCAAAAGCGGTGCCTAAAATTGTTTGACCGTGTTATGTGTGTTGTAAACTGACGAATAGCAAGTAATTGTCATGCTGTACGCATGGTTCCATATACAAATTCAGTTATACAACCGGTATGAAACTGAGAACTTAGATACCAAGTACAACCTGCATTCACACACGGAAGCAATATACTTGTGTGTATGCCCTCTCCTCTAAAAAATGTATCACTAAAGTATTTGCATTGTAATAAATATAGTAATGATAAAACTTGGTAATTTGGTAGGTCTCCGACAGATATGATTTTCAGTTTTTTTACACCTTTGATTGATAAGGATTACGTACCTGTAGTCTAGTCACTGTATCTAATGTATCTGCTTGTTAGAAATTTCAAATGTCGTGTTATAGCACTGTTCCTAAAATACGACAGTTTCTTTTATCGGGTATAAATAGTTGATTCGTCTTGTCACGCAGTCATTTTTACTTGATCGAATGACTTCCACAAAAAATTACGGCAGAGAGTTTTGTATTTTATTATATTTTTAGAAGATTTTAGAAGATGCTTACAAAAAAAATAAAAAAATAAAAATAGTTTATTTATTTAAGTGTCCAGCGGTGTATACATAAAATTACTTCAATTTATACAAGAGGTAAAATATATTAAAAGATATACATCGCCCGGCCAGCGTGGGCCTATTAGACACTAATGTTCTTAAAAGCACCGCAAGTGATACATCACTGTATCTCAGAACGTAAAACTGATAACATTCAAACATGTAATTAGTACACAGTTAATTGTTACATATAATTTCCTGCATATTCCTTTTTGAACAAAAAGCCTACATGTATACTGATATCGGTGTCCACTGTTAAAAGGGTATTAGTGCAGTCAGCCATGGTAAAAGGAGAGACAATAATAAGGTGATTAATTATAGTCTGTTGCAGAATATGCGGTATAAGTGTAGTCATTGATACATATACACATTACACATATACAGATGAAATACACGATATGATGCAGTGCAAGAACAAATTAAGATACAGTTTCTATTAAAAATATTTATACGATTTTGGATTTAATTAGCATGTTTAAATGTTTAGGCCAACACGGCTGAGATACAGCATCGGCACACTCAACTGGAGTTGTTTTCTGCCGGTCGTAAGTTCATTGTTTGACTGAGCACACTCGTGTCGGGGTTGCGATATTTTCTTCTCTTTGTTGGCAGCCTGCCACCGGTCTGAATTTTGAGAAAGGTCTCAGCATGGGACTGTTAATTACTTCTTAATGATGTCTACAAGCTTACAAACTTGTAGATGTTGGGTGCGGTTAGGACCAAACTTTTTCAGCTCAGAGTGTTAGTGGTCCTGGAACCCATAGTGTCAAACAGGTTCTGCACAAAACGTCCATCAGATTCTACTGTTCAGCAACATTGTCACTGAATTTCAGAACTCTGGCATGATATAATAATCAAGGATTTCGAAGGTGAACGAGGGGAAAGGCAGACGCACGTGGATTTACCCTCAGGTTATTATTGTCTGGAGTTCACATTTTGGGGCATTTCATATACTAATTGAACAGAGTTCACCTGCACATGTCCACTTTAGTGATACAGACTGTAACCAAAAATGCAATGAGCCGTAGCTCTTAATCCCTTATAACAACGGTAACAACAACCAGGGTGAGGACACAGTAAGGTTAAACCGTGTCCAACAGACAATCTGAGGTGGCTATCTCCCATCAAGTCAGCTCTGTTTTTAAGCGCATAGTTATGTTTTTACATATTGAAATAAAAGGAATTTAAAAAATTATATTTAACAAACCTACACATTACCAAATACAAAACTTTACAACCCTTCTAGACTTCGTTCCAATTAACCTGGATCATTCAACTCGCTCGCAAAGGTCGTATGCGACTTTTAAGTGAATACGTCTACAGTGTACAAGTAACTTTTAACTGTATCATATATACTCATGATAAGCAATTATTTTCGTTCCTAATTCGAATGAGCACATTCTGAGGCTAAATCTGCAAAAGGACAGATAAAATATTTCTTTGTACAATGCAAATGATACAAACGTAGCGGCTGATAATAGAGACAATGATTTAATAATCTGCAATATATCAAGTGTTCTCGTTCAATCTATTGTACATATTGAAGTGATTGTAAAGTTTCAAGGAGTACTAAAATGTTGTGGTATTATGAATGTATTTAGAATATGAATAGCGAAAAACAGTCACCATATCGGATGTACATGTATAACTTGTCTTCCAACACCACGCTTGTGCCGAGGCCCATGGTAATAAAACTAATCGGTCCCATAAAAGGAGCAAATAGTTTCGCAGATACTTCTTGCTATGGTTCACTCCCAATTGTC